AATTTGTCCATGCATGAGTGTCTTCCCCCCTTTTCAGTGTTGGAGTTTGAAGCCAGGGCCTAGCATGTATTAGGCAGGTTATATGAGAACTTCTTTATAGCTAAAGATACTTTATTGTATGAGTAGTCTGTATTTCCTTTATCCATTCATCAGTTGATGGACATGTAGGCAGTTTCTGTTGTGTAGCTGTGGTTGATAATTTCTCATTCCTCTTTCATTCACAAACTTTTAGCACCCTGCCTTTCTTTCTGTTGCTTAAACCTGTCAGGCTGGTGTCTGCCTTGGGACCATTAATATATTCATGTTGTTTGGACCGCCCTTCTCCTGGGCCTTACAATGGCTTGCTAGTAGTACTCATCCTTGCAGCTCAGGTATTGCATCTCAGAGAAGCTGTCCTTGGTCAGGGTATCACAAGTAACTGAACTTCCAGTACTTTTTATTCAGTACACTATTATAGTGTCTCCATAGTAAATCTCACTGCCAGAAGTGAAGAAGTATTTGGACAATTGGCACCTTTATCAATATGCTATGGACTGTGGACTCATTCTCAAAATAACTTTTGAATGCCTAAAATATACCAATTGTCTTAAAAGTTACAGTTACCAAAATATTTTAAAATTATGTTTAAGTAACCCATACAATTCTCTGTGAAGTACTGAGATAACAGCTTTTATTTGCAAGCTTCATAATCACCAGAATATAGAAGTTTTGACAGATGTAGATGCTCTTTTGACAGATATGCAGCCACTGGATTAGGAAAAGAAAACGTGGTGATTCTTAACGGATAGGAAAATCACAGGTGCTGCAAACAGCACTATAGATTATTGCCTTGCTTTCTAACTGAAGAAACGGCCAAACTGCAGTTAGAGGTGTATTTTGTTCCTGTCCAAGTTTGGGGATTCTCTAAATTATATTTATAAGCTCATTGGAGTTGTGTGGACTCCATGTTTAAAACTGTATGGATAGGGCTGGGGAGCTTGTTCCACAGTTAAAAGTATTGGGTGCTCTTGCAGAAGACCCAGGTTCAATTCCCAGCATTCACATGGAGCCTTACAACTATCTGTAACTTCAGTTCCAGGGGATCCATCACCCTCTCTGGCCTCCATGAACTCAAGACATGTAAGTGGTGCATAGACATATGCAGGCAAAACACCTATATATGTTACAAAAGAAGAACGTGGATGGTCCATAAAAGTCTTGACCTAGTTGCCTTAAAAGGGGAAAAGAGAAATTGGAGTGATGAGGAAGGATAGAGTCTGCCAGGGAAGACAGTGCAAAAAAGAAAGCCATCTTTTATAGCCCTCCATGGAACTAGGGTGTGGATCATCTAGAAACATACTCTTGGGAGGGGCGTGAGAAATGCAATGCCTTGAAGAAAAGGGGAAACAGGTGGTAATGCAGCTGCATACAGAAAAGTGAGGATTTTCTTTGTCCCAGAATGGAATTCAGTAAGAATAGCAACATATGGGAAAGAGTTGGCCACTGTGGGAAGGGAAGATCAGCCATAGGGGCAGGGGGTGAAAAATCTCAGAGCAGTAGGTGGGATCCTTACTGTATACCAGACAGCAGGCCAGACGCTGATGATACAAAGCAGACTGACACAATGATGAGTCACCCATCTTTCAGATCCCTTCAAACCAAATCCTGGTGGCTGATTGGCTGGTTTGACTGGTCTGATCTCTGTGCCTCTTCCAAGACTCTGAGAGCCAGGGTCAGTGAGAATAAGATGAACACGGTATTTCAAAGGTTCAAGAAGAAGGAAGCTGAGAAAAATTTGCTCTGTCTCCTCCACCGCTTTGTGTGAAACAAAAACTTAAAAAAAAAAAAAGTTATGTAATAGAGGAAAGCAAAGTCTTGCCCTGATCATATAATTCAAAGCAGCTACCCATCTAAAAATTACCTGTGTCTGAAGGATGCACCCTCTATTTTCACTATGAAGTCTTCAAGAACCTTCTAAGACTCTTTACTGCTAAGGGATCATTTGTGCTTCAAAACAGTCTTGGCTGGGGTGGGGGGAAATCAAAGGAAGAAAGAGCAATATTTTTAGATTTTTTTTCTTTGGGGTGCCAGAGCTACCCTGCACCTGGGTCTCTTCCTGAATGCAGATCTCAGGATACAGGATTCTGTGATTCTTTTTTTAAATGCTGCTTTCCTCCCCTTTCCTAGGGGGGGCTCTTTCACAAAGGCTCAGGTTGGGAGCTGCTGCAGGTGGGAGGTGTTGCTTGGCCTCATACCCTTCCTTTGATCATGTTCTCTTCTGGCAGTGGGATCTGAAAACTCCCTGCTCTGGCCTGAGGTAATGAGCCTCTTCTTCCTTGAAGGGAGGCAGCATCTCCAGTGGAGAGGCAGCATGCAAACCGAGGAGACGAGGAGAGGCGTAGGGCTGAAACTGAGATGACCTAGTTAGAGCAGAAAGATGATGATGTGGTCAAGGGTGAAGCAGAGGCTCAGCGGGTAAAGATGCTTGCCACCAAGCTGATGACCCGAGTTCCTCCATCCCTGGATCTCTCGGGGTGAAAGGAGAGAACTGACTCACACAAGCTGTCCTCTGACTTCCACATTTATACCACACACCTACATTCATACCCAATAACTAAGTGTATTTAAGAAAAAGAAAGCTCACCTGGAAAAAAAAGAAAAAGAAAGAATGTGAAGGCAACTGGGGTGGCTTCAGTGCAGGTAGGGCTACGAAGAAAGAAGTTTCCAGAAAGGCACAGGGCAGGGAGGAGGAGTGGGCTGACTATCCTCTTTTGAAATTTTAAAAATTAACATATTAATTATACATGATAATGGCTTTCATTATGAGACTTTTGTCCATTTAGTGTATTTTTTTTGTTATATTCAATCCCCATTACCCTCTTTTGTCCCCCTCCCACTGATCTCCTTTCTCTTCCCAATAGCCCCTCTTTTACTTTTATTTTTGTAGTAGAGATATTTTACTAATTGCATTTTCATTTATTTGTATGTATATGTGTGTGCGCACGCACATGTGCTCACATGCATGCACACAGTACATGTATAAAGGTCAGAGGGCAACTGTGAGAGCTAGTTTCTCCTTTTATCATGTGTGCTCTGGGAATCAAACTCAAGTCCTCAGGCTTGATGGCAGGTGCCCTTAACCACTGAGCCATCTCTCCAGATCCCTTTTCTAGTTCTATGCCTTTGTGTGTATGTGCAAACTAGCAAGTTTAATTAGGGTTACTTATAGGAGCATAGATAAAGTATTAGTTACAGAAGTCTGGGAAACTCGCCAGTGACTACACTACTGAAGAAAATATCTTTCCCTCCCTTCGCAACTACTATAGACCTTCAGCTCACTGTTGTTTAGGAGGCCTTGCTGAATCAGGTGTGGTGGTACACATATGTAATTTTAGTAGTAAGGAAGCAGAGGTAGAAGGTTTGTGAGTTTGAGGCCAGCTTGAGCTACATGAATTCCACACCAGCTTAGGCTATTGTCTTAGTCAAGGTTTCTATGTAAAGAAACACCATGGCAATACCAAATATTTTATCATCATCATCATCATCATTATGTATACAGTGTTCTGTCTACAAGTATCCCTGCAGGCCAGAAGAGGGCACCAGATCTCATTATGGATGGTTTTGAGCCATCATGTGGTTGCTGGGAATTGAACTCAGGACCTCTGGAAAATCAGCTAGCGTTCTTAACCACTGAGCCATCTCTCCAGCCCCATAATGTCAACTCTTATAAAGGAAAACATTTAGTTGTGGTGGCTCAATAACAGTTCAGAGGTTTAGTCCATTATCATCATGGCAGGACATGGCAACACGAAGGCAGACATGGTGATAGAGAAGGAGCTGAAAGTTCTTACATGTTGACTCGCAGGCTACAGGAAGTGGTCTGACCTACTGGGCGTGGCTTGAGCATATATGAGACCTCAAAGCCCATCTTCATTCCTTCAACAAGACTACACCTACTCCAGCAAGGCCACATCTTCTAATAGTGTTACTCCTTTTGGGGGACATTTTCTTTCAAACCACTACAGCTATGTAGCAAGACATTGTCTCAAAAAATAAGCAAATGGAGTTGTGCATGGTGGCACATGCCTTTAATCCTGGCACTGGGGAGGCAGAGACAGGCAGATCTCTGTGAGTTCAAGGCCAACCTGGTATACATAGCAAGTTATAGACCAACCAAGGCTATAATGAGATCCTGTTTCAAAACAAACAAGCAAGCAAGCAAACAAACAAATGCCTTATTGAATCAAGGAGGCTGCTTAGGGGAGCTTTCCATGTATTCTCAGTGAGGTGGGGTTACTGTGTAGAAGCTGGAGGAAGTATATTTATCAAATTTTGTCTGGTACTTAGAAGAGAAGTAGAAAAATATGTGACTGTCAATGTTGTTCATTGACAAGAATGAGCGAAGATTCCACAGCACTGTGACAAAATCCCCCAGCATGGTCTCAGAGAGGTCATGTGTCCACAGCTTCAGTGCAAAGGCAGGGTGTGACAGAGAGATGCAGGTAGTATCAATGGACTTAGATTGAGGACCCAATTACAGATCCCATCAGTGGGTTCCACATTGCTTCAGGGCCTGCTGGGAGACAGAGAAGTTTCCTTCACAGGTCCTGTCCTTCAAGAAGACATGGTGAATCTTTGAGAGTATTGGTTCCCGTGAAGCACCAGCAAACAATCCAAAGCCATGTGTAGGTTTTTACACTGCTGGGTCACAGAAGAGATTTGGAGTATAAGTAGAGAAGGCCATAGGAAGGAGATAGGAAATAAACTGAGCCCTGAGGTGTGCAGAGGCAGGATGGGATGAGGAAAGATTAATGGACATTCCACAGTGAAGAAATAAATTGGGCTCATATGTGGACCAAGAAGGTAGCCAACGCTGTCAGTATAAGAGTCCACTGAGAAGATATGGAGAAGTCCAACTAGATGTGGGAGGTCCAATTACAGAGGACACTTTGCATTTCTAACTTGGACTGACTATGTCAAAATCTAAACACTTAATGCCATTGCTTTCCTCTCCCCTCTAGCTATAAGCCCATTGTGGAATTCATAGATGCTCAGTTTGAGGCCTATCTACAGGAGGAGTTGAAGATCCGGAGAGTACTACACACCTACCATGACTCTCGAATCCATGTCTGCTTGTACTTCATTGCCCCTACAGGACATTCACTTAAGTCTCTGGACCTAGTAACCATGAAGAAGCTGGACAGTAAGGTATGAGGCAGGAGCTGGGGCTGAGGACACTGGACTCTTGCTGATATAATATACAAGGGATACTGGATTCCAGCAGAGGTTTTGTGGCATCCTAATCCAATCCTTTGCTCCCTTCCTCCATAAGGATGATGTTACAGATCCTGCATTTATGTCATATGCTTTGCCATCTGGGTTCCTAATATTAGGATGGATGTGTCCTGTGTCTTGGAAATAAGAACAAATGTAAGCAAGGTGGCTGCTTAAGTCTAAAGGTATTGATTTTGCCAATGGAAAAGTGTTATTCTTTCCTTTAATTTTTTAGATTTATTTTATTTTATGTTTTCGAGTATTTCACCTGCATGCATGTGTATCTGTACACCACTTACATTCCATCTGGAGTTGGGGACAGTTGTGAGCCACCACATGGGTGCTGAAAACCAAACAGGTCCTCTGCAAGAGCAAGGAATGCTCTAAACTGCTGAGCTATCTTTCCAACCATGTGCAAGGCCCTAGATTCGATTCCTAGCACCATAAAAACAAGATAAATTCAACACTGGATTCTTTAAAAAGCCTAATTATTAGCCAGGCATTGGTGGCTCACACCTTTAATCCCAGTACCCGGGAGGCAGATGCAGGAGGATCTCTGTGAGTTTGAGGCCAGCCTGATCTACAGAGCGAGTTCCAGGACAGGCTCCAAAGCAACACAGAGAAACCCTGTCTTGAAAAACAAAGCAAAACAAAATGCCTAATTCCTACAATTTTTCTTCCCTAACATTTGTCATGTGCTAAACACAATAGACTTACATATGTTGTTTCATCCTATTTTTTTCTTTTCCATTTGTATATGTGTGCATGTTGGTTGTGTGTGTATGCATGTACTCATGGGTGCTATGTAGAGACTGAAGGCTGATGTCAATCAGAATCATTCTCCATCCTCAATCTTTCACCTTATTCAACGAGGAAGAATCTCTCAGCCAAACCAGAATTGAACTATGTGGCTCATCTTGCTAACTAGCTAGCTTGTTCTAGAAATCCCCTGTCTCTGTCTTCTGAAGCTTAATTATGGCCAGGCAGCATGTTTGTAGGTGCTGGGGATCTGAAAGCAAGAGGGCACTGTTTTGTTGTTATTTTTATTCATTCATTCATTCATTCATTCATTCATTTTTTTGGTTTTTCAAGACAGGGTCTCTCTGTGGTTTTGGAGGCTGTCCTGGAACTAGCTCTTGTAGACCAGGATGGTATTGAACTAACAGAGATCCACCTGCCTCTGCCTCTAGAGTGCTGGGATTAAAGGCATGCACAGCTACTGCCCGGCTTATTTTTGTTTTTAACAAAAGGTGTTTTGTTGCATTTAAATTTTACATTTTTTATTTTTAAGCAAAAAAAACATACAATATATTCTGATCATGCTTTTCCCCTTCCCTAACATCTCCCAGATCCTTCCCAACTCTCTACTCACACAGCTCCATGTCTCTCTCCCTCTCATTAAAAATAAAAAACAATGCCTCCAAAATACATATTGAAAGAAACTTTATGAAAAAAGAAATCAAATATATAAGACCAATAAGACAAAAAAAGCAAACAAGACAGTATGAGACAAAAAGTCTACAAAAACACCATTGAGTTCACTTTGTGTTGATCATCTACTTTGTGCATGCGGGGTATCCTGAAGTTAATAAACTCAGTGAGAATCGATTAGGAAAAACCAGTTTTTCCTTTGCAAGTAGGTGTCGGTTGCAGATAGCTTCTTTGTTAGAATGGAGCATGTGTTTATGTCCCATCTCTCAGCCATGAGATCCTGTATGACTTGGACCTGTGTATGCTATACAGTCTCTTTTCAGTTAATATGTGCATCAGTCCCATTGTGTGGAAGACAATTATCCATCACATGGAGTGGGCTTTAAATCCAATTAGAAAGTACTTGGTTATCTCCACAACATTTGTTGTGTAGTGTAATATGCATCAGCATATTACATAGGCAGGTGACCATTTTAGTTTGCAGGGTTTGTAGCTGGGTAGGTGATTGCCTTTCTCCTTTGGTAGTGTACAAAGTACATTCTAGTACCATGAACACTAGTCAGTAGGGCTGAAGGCTCTAGTTAGGCACCAGTTCAACTTCTCCATGTGCGGATGAGATATGTAAATATTGTGTTCAGCAATAAGGACTGGACCCTGTTTTGTCCTTCTAATCATCTAGGGCATTTAGGTACTGTTAGTTACATTTTACATATGAAGGTCAGTGAAGCACAGAGAGGCAAGTAGCTTGCTCAAGGTCAGACAACTTGAAAAGAGGTTGAAATTTGCCTTTAGCTTTAACTGCAAGTTATTTTGGCATACCAAATTCTAATTTACATGTAGTCATTTGGTAGCATAGCCACTATAAAAGCTGAATGTCAGCTATAATCAGAATAAGAGCAGTTTTTCCATTTTTACAACAATGAGCTCACTGCTCGTGAATAATAGGCTGCTCCTGAAATGCTTTCGTGCCCAGCATGGCTCTGTATAGGGTAGCAGTATGCCATGTGGCGGGCAGTCTGTGGAGTGGTCTGCATTAAGTAAGTAGTTTGGGCTTATGTTTATTGTAGACTAATGAGAACTTGGCAAAAAAAAAAAAAGTGAAAAGGAGACTTGTATTTGCCTGCTGGTAAAGATTCTGATAACTTGACCCCAGAGACTTCAAGAGTGATAACTACAATGGTCTTCAACCAGCATCCAAAGCCATGTAGTATGAGTATTTAAGGTCTTTGAAAATACAAAAAAACATAGGACCTCTTCAGTTCTAGAGTTCCTACACTCTCCGTTCAGCCTTCAGGCCTTAGCACCATTCATGCTTCCCCAATGGGGTTTGCAAGCAGGAACGACTCCATTTTCTGCAGGAACCTGAGCTTCAGTGTGCTCTGTCTCCCAACGCCACACACACACCAGATTTCTTCCTCTTTGGCAATAAAAGTGCTCCCTTTTTCTGGAGGCATTTCAAGGATCAGGGTTCAGGTGAGTAGAACTATCAGGGTGGCACTAGGCCTTTTTCTTGCATTCAGGCCTACTTTCTTTACTCAGAAATAAATCCTACGATTCAAGCATTATAACTGGTGGGGAGGTGGGTAAAACAGGATCTCGTGTAGCCTAAGCTACCTTCAAACCCACTATGTAGCTGAAGATGACCTTGAACTGATTTTCCCATCAACACCTCTCCAGTTCCGGGATTACAGGGGAAGCTGAAGGTGGAACTGAGGGCTCTGCTCATGCTAAGCTAGCAACTAAGCTGTATCCTATCCTCAGCCCCAGTCTAACATTTCTGCATATGTTTCATATCAAATTAGCAATACTGGGTCTTCTGTGCCTAACTGCTGTTCATCCTCATCAAATTCTGTCCCTGATTCTTTTTTCTGACCCTTCATGTGGATCCACGTTATAGCTGACTGGGGCAAGCCCAGGTTGGATGGGTTGGGATAACTTACTGTTACAATGAATGTCAGCTTGTCATCCAGAGGTTACCTGTCACATTTTTCTTCTTTGAATCACCCCAGCAGTGACCTTGATTCCAAGGTATCTCACAGTTCCCCAAATTAGATCTGAAACTGGTAAATAGTTGCTACTAGCTTTGGGAATGAGGCTGACTTTAGTTTGAATTTCAGTTCTGCTACTTTTCTGCCCCGTGGCCCTGGGAAAGTAAGTTATTTAACCTCTATGTGGTTCAATTTCACATTGGTAAAACACTAGCAACAACATCTTCTGAGAAAGTTATTGTTAGGATTCATTTTGCTAAGTCATTCATAGGGTACTTAGTTCAGTAGCCAACACATAGTAAGTACTTGTTATTGTTTATTATATTGTTATTGGCTAAAGGTGGACAGTGCTAGACATATTCGCTGAGCTATCCCCTCTGGGAGCTGGTGAGAGCCTTAGGTCCTGTAGTTGTCGGTTGCTAGTTAACAACAGTTGGTCCTGCTTTGTTCCTCCTTTTCCTAGGTGAATATTATCCCCATCATTGCCAAATCGGATGCCATTTCTAAGAGTGAGCTGACAAAGTTCAAGATCAAAATCACCAGTGAACTTGTGAGCAATGGAGTCCAGATCTATCAGTTCCCCACAGATGATGAGTCGGTGGCTGAGATCAATGGAACCATGAATGTGAGTGGGAGCAGAGGGTTCGACTTTCTACACATGTGTTCTTGGCACAGAGCCGTGAAGTACCATCATCAACCATTTTAGTGTGGTAGCTCTTGATTGCCTGAGTCTCAGGTAGTGGTGACAGAGGATTCAGAACCTAAATCACTGACCCAAGGCTGGGTGTGGAGCAGGAAGTCAGACCTCTCCTTCCACGCTCCTCCTCCCCGGTTTTGACTCATGTATATGTTCATATGTGTGTACAGGTGTATATGTTCATGTGTGTAGAGAGCAGAGATTGACGTTGGGTGTCTCCCTCAATCACTCTCTACTGTGTCTACTGTGGTATGTAGAGCCAGAGCTCCCCATACCTCCTAGTCTGGCTGGCCAGCTTGCCCTGGGGATCTTCCCCCATCTCTGCCTTCTAAGTACTATGATCACAGGTAGCTTCTATGCCCAGGCCAACTTTTGTGTGAATGCTGAGAATGTGAACTCAAATCCTCAAGATTACCAGGCAAGTACTTTATGCACTGTGCCATTCTGCAGCCCCCAAACTGCCTCCTTAATCTAGACCAGGCAACCTTCCAGACTGGGCAGCAACAAAGGTAAAGTATGTTTGTCTCTGACCCCAATAATACTGGAAGTGTGGACACAGCAAAAGACATAAAGGCTGAAAAAATTGGTTGGCTTCAGAGGCACAGGGATGAACTGTTGCCCAAGAAGTACGCCCCGTTGTCATGAACTGTACAATGAGAAATGGCCACCGTGATTTAAAAAAAAAAAAAGATTTAATTTAACTTTATCTTATGTGTGTGAGTGTTTTGTCTGCATGTATGTAAGTGTTCCATGTGTGTACAGTCTCCACAGAAGCCAGAAGAGGGTATTGGATCACCTGGGACTGGAGTTACAGATGGTTGATAGCCGCCTTGTGGGTGCCCAGAATCAAATCCAGATCCTCTGCAAAAGCAGCCAGTGCTCTTAACCACTGAGTCATCTCTCAGTCCCAGTGATGTTATTTTTAAGCAGCAGGGTTATGCTTTGCCTTATTAAGTGTGAATGAATTTACAAAAAGAGCCCTCTTTTCTCTCCTCCGCCACCTCCCCCTACTAGAGGAATGAGTAATAAGGAAGGCTGAGAGTCAAACACTTCCCTGCTTCTTTACAATGTGTTGACGCTGTTGCTGTGAAAGCTTGGATGTTGTGATTTCCAGGAGACAGCTAATAGCTTTCAGCAAGCCTCTGCTTCGGGAACAGATTTCTTTTTCTCTATTGAGAAGCATCAGTTTTTCCTAATGACATAATGTCAGGGGACAGCCAAACTCAGGAAAGCCTTGTAATAAAAGCCATTTTTAGCAAACTTTTCCTGCTGCTGGTGCCCTCTAAGTTATCATTACAACATCAGCTGCCACCTCTTATGACTTGGCCAACAAATTAGCATAGCCAGGCAGCAAGTCACTGTCGCCTGATGGCCTGCCTATCAGCATGGTCCACCCCAGATAGATTTGGTAGTAGAAGCCCTTCATCAGCCTTGACAAGTCTGGCTTAAGTCTATGTCCCATATATAAGGTAGAGTTGTATTCTCTGTGACCTACTGTGGGTATGGACAAAAATTAAAAAGCAAAACAGTGCTGTCCCCTCCAGGAATTAGAGCATTTTGGTGAAAATAAGGATCTTTTAAGATGAGAAAACCGGAAGAATTGTCCAGCCTGCAGCAAAACAGGAAGTGCTTTCTGGGTATTGCTTGCGCTGATGTCTGGACGCATCTAGTCACCTCAGGGACTTGAGTCTCCATAGATAGCTTCCAGACTCATTCTCTGAGTCATCAAGCAGTGGTCAGCCTCACAGTTTGTTTTGCTACAAACAAATAGGAAATACGTGTTCAGCAATATGAAGGCGTCCCACCAAGCTACACCACTACATTATGGGTTAGGAGTGACAATCACCCTTTCTCTGTTCTCAGCTCAACTCTGGCCTCCTGCTCAGCCTAGAGCAGATTCAACCTCAGAGTTGGAAACTTTCCATTGCAATGAAGCAGCAGTTCTCAACCATGCTGTGAAGAGATTGCCGGGCCCCATGTTATACATAACAGCCCATGGTTTGCCCCTGCTTCACTTTGAACAACTAAATAAAAAACTAGTTGTGGTAGTGCATGCCTGTTATCCCAGCACTGAGGCAGGAGGATCACATATTTGACTCTGGCCTGGGCTACATATAGCAATCCCTCACCTCCAAAAGAAAAGTTGGCTAAATCTTGTAGGTTTGGGGTTGTCCCTTTAAGTAGCATTGCTCGGTGTTCCCTGCCTTGCATTCCATTATGCTCTTTTGAATGTGAAGGGAAGAAAAGCAGCTAGGATGCCTGGCCTTGGACATGTCCACGTGAGGGGCTTGTGTGGGAATCCTCTGTGTTCCAGATGCTGAACTGGGGAACAGGAGGCAGGAGTAACTACTGTAATAAACATAGAGGTGCTTTGCATACCTGCCAACACTACAACTGTGTCAAAGTCTCCAGAGAAACCATAATATATTCAGTGCTATCAACAGAGATGTGGAGGGGGTGCTCAGGTGCTCATGAGAACTGGGTGCTGGCCTTTCCATTCTAGATATGGTTCCAGATGCCCAGCCTCTGCCCATTGTCATGGGAAATAGAAGAGGCCGGAGGTTTTTACCTAGTTAGAGAAGACTGTACAGCTGCCCTGTTATTCCCAAAAAACAGATATTCATGGGTGAGCAGGCCCGGCCTGCTCTGGTGACTCTGGAAAACCTTATTTCACATTGTGGGGGCAGGACATGGGGGAGTTAAAGGAGAGAGAGAGTTTGCTGCATGCTATTTTCAACCCATGCTGGAATTGCTCTCAAAGCTATAGGCTTTAAATCTCAAAACTGTAACATTATTTAAATTAATTCATTATTTTGAGACAGGGTCTCACTAGGTAACCCAGGCTGTCCTTAAACTTGTGACCATCTTGCCTCAGCATCCTAATTGCTGCCATTGTAGGACTGAGTCATCATTCCCAGCTTATTGTTTAGATGCATTGTTGTTGGTCTGCCATAATGACACACCTATAATCTCAACATTTGGGAGATAGAAGCAGAAGGATTTGATGTTTAAGGTCATCCTCAGTAACACAGAGAGCTGGCAGGAACCCTGTCTCAGAAAAATACAACATGTACATACTCACATGCACTCACATGATCATATGCACACAGAGACATACACAATGAAAAATAAACCTCTTTTTAGAAGAAGAGAAACTAGGCCTTTAGTGGTTAGGTAGGCCATAAGGGCTGCTCCCTCACTAATGAGGTCAAGGACCTTTATGAGAGATTTTATGTAGAATTGAGCTAGCTTGATTGTCTACCTTCTGCAATGGGAGAATGTAACAAGAAGACTCTCATCAGACATCCAAATGTGCTACTACTTTGAACTTAGACTTCCAGCCTCTAGAACTATGGAACTTCTATTGATGTCTTTTTAAATTGCTTGTCTCCGGTATTTTGTTGTAGCTGTACAAAATGGACTAAGTGAATCTGGGGCCAGACTCCCAAGACAAGCTTGAGGCTATGTATTGTGATAGACTCTGCACCTGGGAGGTCACATATCTTGGTGTCTCTCATCATAGTTTTAGGTAGAGTCACCGGGGGAGGGGGAATTCCCCTCATTAGTCATGTGTCAGCAGGGACATTGTCTTGCAGTTACCAAGATTCTCCTCCCTGGGCCACATATGTGAAACATCACCTGTCAACCCCCCGAAGGGACCTGAAAAAATGGGAGAAAGTCTAGCTTCCATTTGGGGATATCATAGGTACGATTGGTAGTAAGACTGAAAGTTAAAACTCTTCTCTCTCTTGCTTGATTCCATTCTGGTTGTCATAGTCACACGTCTTTCAAGAGCAGCATGCTAGGGCTCATTTCCAGTGACTCCTGTCCTGTTTAGTTGACTTCCAGCAGATGCTGTTTAGCCAGGATATCAAATGAAGACTACTCTAGGTGGCTCAGGAAGACTGGCAGCCAAAGTGTGGTGGCCTCAATACTTCCTGGGAAGACAGTTTAGGACATGCATGGCTCCTTTAAGCTCTGTCTTGGCTCCCTCCGATAATATATAAGGTTTATATTTCTGGCCCTTGGAGATTATCTGTTTGCTTGTACTTTCCAGAACCATCTTTGATGCCAGTTACAAAGGAGTGTGCTGAGGGAGGTTTTATGAAGCCTTAGAACTCAGTTTGGTGAGGGCTGTGTATTTGAGAATAGTCAGGGAGCTAGGAGGATCAAATGACAGCAGTTTGAGGAAGAGGAGTATCGAGTGACCCTGTCATTCTGAGTGTTCCTTGATGATAAAAATAACAGGCCCAAGGGAAGACTGGCATTTCCTATGCCTTTATTTTCTTCTTGTGTTTTTTTCTTTCTTCTTGAGTCTAGAGAAGTGCTTCCCACTTCACACACAATCCTCCCCCATCACTTTGAGCAGAGAGCCCAGGATACAAGCAGATGATGATACAACATGGTTTTCATTCTCACCTCATCCCTCAGTCTAGCCCTCTGTATTCACTGTCCCTCGTCTCTCCTGCAAGTACCAAGCTCATGACCTTGCTTGAACTGTCCCTTTCATCCTCTTCCCTACTCAGATAGCCCTGCCATCCTCTATTCAAGGAGTATTTATAAAGTACCTACTATTTGCCATTGGTCATATAACAGGATTTTGAGTGTGTAATTCAGGCTTCCTCAACAAGAGTACAAGTTCCCAAAGTTCAAGGAAGTATCTTCTACTTCCTTATGCCCCTTATAGTGCACCATCAGAACTTGTAGGTGAAAATTTGATGCCTTGTCCACTAGGCTCATGGGATCATTTTGAGCTCTTGTCTATGGTGGGCAAAAACAAAGACAGTGTAGCTCAGTAGTTTTAGACTGTGCTCTCAAACTCTAGAAAGACAGTAGTGATGCCAGATTCTGTACCCAACCCCTTCTGGTGCTCAGAAACCCATTCCCTAGCAACAGTGACTGGTGAATATAGGTTGCTAGGTCATATATCTGCTTATGTTTCTTCTCTGTTCCCTATGTTTTCGACCATGTCATTGTTATCTAGAACAGAGAGGCAAGAATTAGGTCTCATCCTTGCATGGCTACGGAGCTGTGGAGCTTAATAAATGCTTCTCAATGCTGAAGCAGAGAGTGGCATCACAGAGGAAAGACCCAACAGCCTGGAGATGAGCAGCAGTTGCATCGTGGGGTGCTCAATGCCTTTCTTCTACAGTTCTGAGTGCTTGTTTGCCTCTGTTCTAGGCCCACCTGCCATTTGCTGTTGTTGGCAGCACAGAAGAAGTGAAGATCGGCAACAAGATGATGAGGGCACGACAGTATCCTTGGGGGACTGTGCAGGGTGAGTCTCCTGAAGATGGGCTGCACTCAGAAAGCTCCTTCTTTGTGTGTCTGCTGCCCCCTGCCATGATATAACAAGTTCTTAGCTTGTCCCAGCCTCTACAACTCATTTTGGGTCTCAAACAGCCATAGGGGTCACTAGCAGCAAGCTCTGGCCCCATGCCCAGATTCTATGACATGAGCAGACTCATTTTGTCTGTAATGGAGAAATTACTCCCTTATATCCCCCCCCCACAAACAGCAAAAGACAAATGGACTTGGCATCACATAGAAAGGACTATATTAGTGAGTATGTCATTAGGAGAGGCACAAGAATGTTCATAGGAGTGTTATTCATAATGATAAATTATTACAAACAATGAGGTGTCCATAAAAATAGATGGGGTAATTTGTGAAATGGTTATGTAATGGGATCTTAGACAGCAATGCAAATGAATGAATTGAAGTTACATCTGTGTGAATGGAACTCAGAAACACAATGCTGAGCTAAATAAAACCACACAAGAATGCATATGATAGGTTTCTATTGTATGAATCCAAAAGTAGACTAAAATAATATGGTACTTTTTTTTTTTTATAAATTCCTACAAGAGTGATGAATGATGGAACCAGTTTTCACACACACATACACACAAAATAAAAATAAACCTTTAAAAAAGGGGACCAGTGAGATGGCTTGTGGGGGCAGGGTACAGGCACTTTCCTCCAAGCTTAATGGCCCAAGTTTGATCTCCAGAGCCCATACAGTGGAAGGAGAGAACTGACTTCTAAGAGTTGTCCTCTGACCTTCAAACAAACACCAACATCCACAGGAGTATACTCATACACACCAATACCCCCTCACACTAAACAAATTAAAATTTTAAAAAATATACACAAATGAAGAGTAAATCCCAAAATCAGGACAGTGCCTAAGTTTCATTAGCAGAGGAGGCAGGGAATAGACAGAGGGGCATGAGATCAAAAAGAGGCCAGCAGGGGCTTCCAAGGTAACATTACTCCTGTTGTGGAGATATTTTGAAAAGTTTAATTTCTTTAAATCGCACATACCTATTTTATGTACCTTTATATATATGATTATTTCATAATTTTAAAGAGTCAGATATATACTACATACACTCATGGTAATTCTTCTTGGGGCCTGTCCCACACATATTATGCTAGTTAGTTCAGTAGGTAACATGAGCCCGAGGACACTGCAATGGACAGAAGTTTGGGGCCCTGAGTCTGTAGCTATAACCTGGGCCGTGGCTGGCAATTTCTCTGTAAATCCATCCCAATCCTTAGGCAGATCAAGGAGAGTGGGCACACAAGAAGGGAGGCATTCATCTGTAAGTCCAGTACTGGGAGGAGGGGGCAACTGACACGGGAGGATTGTGAGTTGAAAGGCAGCCTTGGAAGGCTGTGTCTCAAAAAGCCAAAATAAGAGTTGATGGTGAGTTGTCCACCTCACATACAAAGGCTGGCATGATTCAAGGCGCAGCAGAGCCCCACTCACAGTAGCTGAATTTCTTTCCTTTTCTTTCTTTTGTGGTGCTGATGTTGACTATAAAACACAGGGTCTCATGCATGCTAGGCAAGTGCTCTGTCACTAAGCTATGTCCTCAGTTGTTCTTTGTTACACTGAACTGAGTGTAACCAGGCCTCACACTAAATGAAAACAACTGTTGAGCTACATCCCGTGTCCGGATGTCCTATAGGAGGGAGAGCACTATTTGGCAGAACTATGCTAAGCTTTGCTTCTCTCCACCATTTCGACTTGGGGATGCGTGTTAGTCACTGTTCTATTGCTGTGAACAGACACCACGACTATGACAACTCTTATAAAGGAAAGCATTTAATTGGGGGTACCTTACAGTTTCAGAGGTTTACATCCATTATCATCATGGCAGGACATGACAGCATGCAGGCAGGCATGGTGCTGGAGAAGAAGCCGAGAGTCCTACATCTTGACCTGCAGACAACAGGAAGTGAACTGAGGCACTGGGCATAACTTGAGCATACATGAGACCTAAAAGCCTGCCTCCACAGTGACAAACTTCCTCCAATAAGGCCATACCTATTCCAACAATTCCACACCTCCTAATAGTGTCACTCCCTATGAGATTATGAGGGCCAATTACATTCAAACTACGACAGGATGCTACACTAGGAACATGGGAAGTGGTTTCTGAACCGACACTCACACCTTTGTAGTCTGGGGACTGAAAGACAAGAACCTGAGGTGAGAGGAGACAAACCAGCAGATATAGTTCCAGTGACTTCCTTCCTCCATCTTGGACTACCCTGCTCTTATCCCAAATTGAATTTTGTTTTTGTTTGTTTTGAACTCCTACATTGACTATTCTTTTTGAGTGAAAAAGCAGTTGGACATTGGTTGGGAGCCTTAAAAAGACTTAGAATTATTCCTTTGTTGTCTATCTTTAAAAAAAATAGGGTCGCATGTAGCCCAGCTTGACCTTGTAAGCACTTGTAGTTGAAGCTAGCCTTGAGCTCCTGACCCTCCTTCCTCTACCTCCTAAGTACTGGAATTACAGGTGTGTACCACCATGTCTGCCTCTAGAATATACATATAGCTTGCTCCAAGGAGTTATTTTATTGATGTAGCTATTCACATTAGTTTATGTTCTATGGTAACAGGTAGAGTTCAGTCCTGGATGTAAGGGGCCTTAGGTAGAAAGATTACATGGACCACTCTGGACTCTGGACAAATACTTCTGATGAACATATCTGACTATCTATAATGGTACAAAGATACTCAACTCTGTCATTCCCGAACCCCTCCTCTGTCCCTACTGTCCATTCCCTGAACCTGAGAGAAAGAATCTTGGATAACTTACCTGTTCAACATCTCACACACCACCATCCCCTTCTACATGGCCAAACACTCCTATCCAACACCGTGGATCCAGGCCTGGAGACATTCTGACAGAGCCCTACTTGCAGAATTGCTCTGGCCAGAAGTCCACTTTGCTGTGATTTAGTCCACTTACTCTACATTCTTGTCTACTACCCAAAAAGCAAACCTTTGCCCACAAAGCAAAGAAATGGTACCCGCTCTCTCCTGCTTAAGATTGCGGGGGTCAGGCCATTATCCACCCTTGGTAAAAACACCTCCTTGGAAGCTTCTACTAGCCTCATGGGCCACACCTGAGGTCTGCCCCTCCTTGTCTCCATCACCTTTTGCTACCCTAGTTCTTTTTCCTTGCTCTGTAGAGACTCCTTCTATGGTCTTTGCCTCTCCCCTACACTACCTGGGTTTGAAGTCTAATTCTGCAACTTGCTCACTATGTGACTTTGCCTAGCCTTCTGGAGACCTTGTGAAGATTGTGTTCTATTGTCTGCCTGATAAATTCTATTCTTGCTTCCAGAGTCACCCAAGAGGTTTTGTCTTTGAGGAAGCCTATACTCTCCTGGAAGTTCATAGCTCCCCCTCTTCTGGGCTTTTATTGCACTGCAGTCATGTGTCCATGTTTGTGATTTTGGCATTGCATTATATTGTTCTGTTTACATGTGCTTTCCCACCAAGCCGCAGGTTTCTAAAGGAATAGCCAGCCCCAAGACTTTGTTTCTGAATTATCTGCGCCCCAGAGAATACTGGGAACAGAGATTCCACAAATACTTACTGGGCAGATGGATAGATAGTTGTGCCTGTATTGTCATCTGCAGAGCAGTGTAGAGCAGATATTCCTGTGGAAGTCTGCTTGGCGAATTTGTGTTGAGGCATTAATGAAAGTTCTGAGGTATTTGCATACTAGTATTGCCGTTTCATAATGTTTCATTCCCATTTTCACAGAAAATGGAAATAGGTTAAATTTGTAGATGCTGTATTAAAGAGGCTGCAAGGTGATGTCACCATTAGATGCTTTATGTTTCACTTCATCCATTTCTTTCTGCTGCTGGCCTTCCTTTCAATATACTTCCAATGCCCCAATCCCTGCTATGCAGTTGAAAATGAAGCCCACTGCGACTTTGTGAAGCTGCGGGAGATGCTGATTCGGGTCAATATGGAAGATCTGCGGGAGCAAACCCACACCCGGCACTATGAATTGTACCGCCGCTGTAAGCTGGAGGAGATGGGCTTCAAGGACACCGACCCTGACAGCAAACCATTCAGGTACCACTCATGCCAGGCCAGTCCAACCTGGCCCAGCTCACGAAGCCTTGCCCTGGAGAATCAGCAGGGGAGGAGGAGAGGCACGGGGGTTAGCTAGAGGGCCCAGACTAATTCCTGGGTCAGCAGTGCTGCTCGACTGTTCCCTCTCTGTGTCTGCACATCTGCCAGAAGAGATACTATCCTGCTTAGAAAGCAGGGAAGGGAGGGGGCCCCGAGAAACCACTCTGCTGGTCATCCAGTGCTTTAGCCCCTTCCTCCCATATGTAGCTGCTCTAGCCAACCAGGCTGACAGAGACCCTGAGTTGTGGCTTTCTCTTTCTACTGGGTGGCAGTTAGGAACTGTCCTCTGTTCCCACTTTCTTCATCTGGCTCTCCTGGTGCTTAAGATGGGTTACCAATATGTTCTTTCCTTTATTCCCCGTTCTCAAAAAGCAAATAGGAAAAGTCAGGCATGGTGGTATATGCCTGGCATTCCCAGTACTGGGGAGGCTGAGGCAGAAGGATTGCTATGGGCTATCTAGCAAGTACTGCACCAGTCAAGGGTGCATAGCAAGAACATTCCTTAAAAGAAAGAAAGAAAGAAAGAAAGGAAGAAAGAAAGAAAGAAAGAGAGAGAGAGAGAGAGAGAGAGAGAGAGAAAGAAAGAAAGGAAATCTGGGTATTTGATTTGGTAGCAGAATGCTTGTCTAGCATGCACAGTCCCCAAGTTCATCCCTAACACCAAATAAACAAATAGGAAAATACAAAACAGGACCACTGTCACTTGGCTTGTATCGGTGACCTGGTGATGCTCTTCCTCCACTCCCTAAGCATTTCATTGTGTGAGTTTTGTTTGGGCCACTGAAGATGAATAATCACTGGTGTTTTCCTCACACCAGAATCAAAAGTGCTTTTATTATGCAGGTGGGAGCCATAGACCAATGGAAGCATCTGTTCTGTATACACAATATGTGTCATCAGCCCTGCATTTCAAATTACCACGTGTTGCCCTTTACCATAATTCTATCTCCTTTCAGGAAATGTCAGACACCCATGAGCAAGACAGCAAGAATATCTGTGGGAGGAAAAGGCATTCAAATGGCCCCCGGGATCCCACAGAACCTGCTCATAGCAGAAATGGGGCCTAGGACACTGTACAAGCCGTTCTTTGGGGGGTCGTCGGCTTTAGGAATGGTAGCTTCCCACCCCTGTGTAGAAAGGCAGGTCAGGGCCCCCGAGCTCCTGATCTGGGAGAAAGCAAGTTTGTGTGATAGAAGCTCCTCTGTTTCTCCTTCATCTCCACAGCTTTCATGCGCATCCGGAAGGAGGTGTGCCGCTACCTGGCCATTCAGTCCTGGCAGTAACTCCGTTACTTGTGTTCCTGCATCTTCACCCTCTTGACAGTCTTCCACTGCTCCTGTCTACCTTGCTTGCAAATACTCCCGCCCAATCAAGTCCCTTTTTTAGCTCTGCCCTTTCTTGCAAGTTCCTCCCCTGTCAAGAGGTTTGTCTCTGACAGGAAAGAAACATTTCTGAATCTACTGTTCCTCTTCCTCCTCCCTCACTTACTTCCTCAGCCCACTGCAATCTGGTTTCTGCCTCCAGCTCTCCACACAAGGGCCTGTGTCCAAGGCCTGCAGTTGTAGATTGGCGGCTGTTTTCACTGTGACTTGAGTTTTATCTTTGACTTTAATGTGAACCATTCATTTGGCTTTCTTGTGATACTCTGCCTTCAGCTCTTCCAGTTTTGGCCTGGCCAACTTTATCCAACCCCTCTCTGTCTTATTACTCCTTGGTCTCTCTTTCAGGCTCCTGCTCTTCAGCTTTCTCCTTTAAATGCTGGTGCTCCCTAAGGGTTCTTTCCATAGGCTTCTGCTCTCTCATACTCCTGCCTCTCTGCTCTGGTTCTTTCTATTCACACAACCCTAATTACCACCTACTCCAAAGCTAAAATTTACCATTGAACTCTGAACCCATTGATGCAACTGCATTGCAGGCATTTGCACCCAGACATCCTATGGATGCCTAATGTGAATCTGCCATCTAGACCTCCTCCTCCTCCTTCCTTTTCTAGCATCTCCTGCTGCTGTTCACGTTCTACCATCTACCTAGTGGCCCAAGCCAGAGACTAGAACCAGCTTCTTTGCAGGTATATTGGGAAAGTTTAATGGAGATCGTAAGATTCAAAGAATGATACTATAAGAAAATAAGATACCCTTGAGAAAGTAACTCTAAGCTACACTCAGGAGAGCTATCTAGAATCAGCTTTGATTTCCCCCAAGTCCTGGAAACTCTGCAGCCCTTATTGTTCCTCTAGAGTCCCTGCCAGCCCTTAACATGAAGATCCAGCCATGTCATACTGGAATTGCTGCAGTTTCCTTCCCAGAATAGGCAAGTGCACTTCTTATGTTCTGACTGATGGAAACCACTCGGTGGTCACATGTCCACTTCTTTAATGTGGCACCCAAAGCCTGTCCTCTTCTTCCAGACTCGCAACCACCCCTCTCACTCCTCCACGGTTCACAAGATTCCCCCAAGCCTGTTCAAGTATGGCCACATCCCCAGGGACACCACTCCATGCTTGTGCCTTCCCACATGCTGCTCTCTTTTTTGGAGCACAGCCCTTCTGTTCTTCACCAGGCTGACTCTTATCTTACTTAAAAAAAAAAAAAGAGGGGGGTGGTCTTGATCCAGGCATCTGCTGTCTAGCTGCTGAGCAACTAGCATGTCTTATTCACACTGTTCACTCACGTGGTAGGTATAATCAGCAAATGTTTGGTCATTTTCAGAGCCAGGGCCTGGCAGTGCCGTGCAGTGGGAGGGAGGCCTTAAATGAAGAAACAGGAGACCCAGCTTCTGCTGTCAGTTTTGCCTCTAATTAGGTGTATAATCTTCAGCGAGTCACCTGTGAGCCACACTTCCCTCATCTCTACAGAGAGAGAGAGATCTAGCAGATATCCAGTTCACCAGTATTCAGTAACTGTAATATTGCTGTTGCATGCCAAGCTGTGCCCTCCCCTTTTGTAGTTCTCTCTTTACATTACTCTGTCAAAATTAGAATTAGGGAAGAGAGGATGAGGGGGACTCAGGATGGTTGCGGCCCCATTTTCAGGACCAGGGGTTGCCCAGGAAGCCGTGTAATTGACTTGATCATATCTACAGTTTACAGGAGACCTATGAGGCGAAAAGAAATGAGTTCCTAGGGGAGCTCCAGAAAAAAGAAGAGGAGATGAGACAGATGTTTGTCCAGAGAGTCAAAGAGAAAGAAGCCGAGCTCAAGGAGGCAGAGAAAGAGGTAAATACGAGCCTGGAGACCAAGTAGGTAGGACGAGAGAGACTGAGTGTGGTGAGAAAGGCCTCGGACTTGGCAGAGCAGCTAGAGGGGAGAGGGGCTTGTAGCCTCTGGGCAGGACTGGAGTGCAGCTTGAATGGAGAGAATCTGATGACAACTGTGTGTTCTTGGCCTTCATTCCCTAAGGCTGGGGCATTTTCTCATTCTGTCTTTATTTAGAGGTATTTCCATCCAACATGGTGGGTATTTCGTTGTTGTTGTTGTTGAAAATCTGAATTAATTTATTTAGGCTTTGAAGCAAGGTTACTTTATATAGCCCAGGCTGGACTAGAACTCACTGTATAGCCTAGGCTGGCCTCAAATTTTAGAACCTTTAGCTTGAGCCTCATGGGTCTAGGATTATAGGAATGTAGTACAATGCTCAAAAATATTTTACTAATTGCATATAATTGTGGAATATGATGGACAGTTTTCATGTTGATAATAGTTATTAAATCAAGCAAATAAATCAGTCATTTCATTTTATATGTTTATTTTATTTTATTTATTTTTTGAGACAGAGTTTCTCTGTGTAAACTGGCTGTCCTGGAACTCACTCTGTAGACAAGGATGGCCTTGAACTCACAGAGATCACCTGCCTCTGCCTCCCGAGTGCTGTTTATCTTTTTTGTTCTGTTAGAAACATTTAAATCTAAGCCAAGTCGCCACACAGGCCTATAATCTAGCAAGAGCACAAGTTCAGGGCCTGCCTAGGCAACTTAGTAAGATGCTGTGTCTAACTAAGAAAACTTGAAAGGGGACTAGGGATGTAGTTCAGTGGTAGAACTTTTGTATAGCATGCATGAGGCCCAAGGTTCAAAATCCCCAGCACTGCTGGGTTGCATTTAAACTATACTCTTGGCCATTTTTAGATATACAATAAAATTTAAAATTCAATTCCTCAGTCCATTTCAGCTGTCCAATAGTCACACAACTGATTTAATACAGCTCTTGTATTGAACAGCACAGATACAGAACCTCTCTGGCACTAGCATCACACCAGGTGCTCTTGCGCAGTGGAGCCCTCTGAGTCAGGGGAAGGTTGATCCTTCCCCCACTTCCTGGAAATTTGCAGTTCTGTAGAGACAAGTGATATTTTCATGGCTGGCCTGCCCTATCCTACACTCTCTGATAACTATAGGGAAAGGTAGTCCCAGACCATCTTAGATAAAATGATGAAATATAAATTGGCAACAGTGGGATTCTTGTCCACTTAGATTTCCAACTCTGTCTTCTTGGTTTTTGTTTGTTTGTCTGGGTGTCTATTTATTCAATGTGGGGCTACGAATGGAACCCAGGCGTTCTGCATGCTACACCGAGCGCCACCCCTAACACCCCTACTTTGGTTTAGAATGGAAAAAGCATTAGTGCAGTTCTAGCTGTTTTTTTTTTTTTTTTAACCGATTTGATGGTCCTTTCTAAGCACATGCAGTTTGGGCTGTCTGGGTAGCTCAGTGGGTAAGTGTTTGTCAGTCAAGCCTGACAACCTGAGTTCAATTCCTGGAATCCACCTAAAAGCCAGATATGATGGCACCCATCTGTAATCCTAGCACCCCTATGGTGAGATGGGAGGCCAAGACAAGAGAATCACCTGTAAGTTCTCAAGCAGTTAGCATGGCCAGGACAGAAGAGACACAAGGTGGAAGGAGAGAACCAGCTCCCAAAAGTTATCCTCAGGTCTCCATATGCATGCTAAGACACATGTACATACGCAGTAATCATCATCATCATCATATTTTATATTATTTCATGTGCACGGATATTTTTGCATGTGTCTGTGTACCACTTGTATGCCCAGTGCCGAAGGAGGCCAGAAGAGGGCACTTGATTCCTGGAACTGGAGTTACAGATGATTGTGAGCTGCCAAGTAGATGACAGGGATCAAAAACTGGGTCTTCTAGGAAGGCAGAAAGTACTCTTAATCCCTGAGCCATGCCTCTAGCCCCTAATAATAAATTATTTAAAAAGAATTAAACATATGCAGTTATTCCTTTAAGCAATGGCCTTGGCTTGCAAGGCCCCTCTACAAATTCACATCCTGATGCCAGAGTAATTGGCCTACAGTACAGTTTTGGAATAGCAGCCAGCATTTCACTTCTCTGGGCCTTAGTTAACTCTTTATGATGTTGTTATCAAAGACCTACTCAACAAAAACAACTTAAGGAAGAGTTTGTTTTGGCTCACAATTCTAGAGATACAGTTCATCATGGTGAGAAAGCATGATAGCACAAGCTTAGTGCAATTGGTCACTTTGTACAAGAAGCAGAGAAAGAGAGAGTGGGGAGGGAGTGAGGGAAAGAGAGGGGGTGAGAGAGATAAAGAGAGAAAGACAGAGATAGCGGCTATTGGTACCCAATCCATTTTCTCCTTTTAATTCAGTTTAAGACCCCAGCCCATAGAACGGTGCTATCTATCTTCAGAGTGTGTGTTTTCACCCCAGTTAGCCCAATCTAGACACTTTCATAGACACACCTAGAGGCTAATTTCCATAGTGATTACAAATCACCCATTAAGTTGACAGTCAAGATTAACTATCACACCCCTCAAACATAAATAAGGGAAACAATTAATCCCCAAATCTTTTCATCTTTGATCCCCTAGGACTCTCTACAGCTGTCACCAAAACTGTGGTACAGGTATTGGTTTTATTTCAGTTTCACTTGAAGAGGAAAAATGTCACCCCTTCCAACTGACAGTCCCCTCAAGTGACTAGGTGAAGCTAGTTTAGACAATAAGCTTGTCGTTTGCCATACCTTACTAAGCAACGGTCCCAAATGTCCTTAGTATTTTCAGAACTGGCCTCTAGCTTGCCCTGCAAGGACTAGAGTGCAAAATTTCCTCCTCAATCCCCAGAAGAAAATAGAATTATTCTTGGTCTGTGTATTAGGGTATTTTGTGCGCATCAGTGGTTGGACTGTCCATGCTTCTGGTACTCTAATCCACTTGTCACAACAGCATGCCAGAATATGCTTACTGTTCTTTGAGTCTGAGATTCCATCCAAGGTGAACAAAGCCCTACCTCTGGTTAAGACTGAGGTCTCAGGGCTGGGGAGATGGCTCAGCAGTTAAGAACACCAGTTGCTCTTGCAGAGGACCTGTGTTCAGTTCCCAGTACCCATATGGTGGCTCACAACTATCCTTAACTTTAGTTCAGGAGATTTGATGTCCTCTTCTGACCTCTGAGCGTACCAGGCACGCATGTGGTACATATGCACACATGTAGGCAAAACATACATGTAATACATACATATAAAATAAATGAATCTTTTAAAAATTGTTTGAAAAGATTGAGTTCTCAACACTCATCCAAATTTACGCAATCTTTTCTCTTTTTGTGTTCGAGGCCAAGCATTTCTTTTGACCAGCTTTGCTATGGTTTAATTTTTTTTTCTCATGGTCCATGGTGATCTTTCCTGGTTAGAGGTTGATAAGAAGAGGCAGCAGGAGTTACGGAGGCTGGAGAGACACCTCACTGAATAAGAGTGCTTGCCGTGCAAACATGAGAGCTTGAGTTCAGAGCTATACCCACAGAAGAGCCAGGCATGGCTGCACATGTCTGTAATCGAGCCTTGGGTAGCAGAGACTGTAGATCCTAAGTGGGCTTAACCGGGAGGAGAGCCCATTTTATAATCTCCAAAGATTGGCTTCACCTTGGGCAATCACCTTCAGTTATGGGACTTTCAGTGTCCTCATGAAGCAGATATGATAACAGAGCCTACCTCAACTGTGTTTTGAACTGGACGTGCTGCCATACACCTGAATCTCAGTACTCAAAAAGCAGAGACAGGAGGATTATGAGTTCAAGGTTATCTTGAGCTGCACAGGAAGATTCTGTCTCAAAAAGAAAACAAATATAATACTGTATTAATGAAATATTAGATTTAGTGGTTGGCTTGTAACTAAGTAAATATTATGAACTACCCCCAACAGCTACAGGGATACTTTTAAATAAAATGCTTGGTTATGCACAATACGTTGTTCCTTGACCAGTTCAGGAGCAGAGATTCTGAGAACAATTTAGAGCAATTTACCACAACCCTTAGCACCATCATGGCAGTCACTGGCAGAAATGTCTCCTAATGTACCAGAGTCCTGCAGGGTTGTAGTCACAGTGGTTCCCACCCACTCTGGTCTTGGCTCTGATCTCAGGGACTGCTCATTGCTGGGGGGGGGGGCGGGAGACATGCCCTCTAACCTCCCTGCGCCTCTCTGTCAGCTGCATGAGAAGTTTGACCGTCTGAAGAAACTGCACCAGGAGGAGAAGAAGAAGCTGGAGGATAAGAAGAAATCCCTGGATGATGAAGTGAATGCTTTCAAACAGAGAAAGACGGCGGCTGAGCTGCTCCAATCTCAGGGTTCTCAGGCTGGGGGCTCCCAGACTCTGAAAAGGGACAAAGAGAAGAAGAAGTAAGTAGCAGGCTATTGGTGTGTATGTAGGTGCGTGTGCGTGTGTGTGCGTGTGTGTGTGTGTGTGTGTGTGTGTGTGCGTGCGTGCGTGTCATCTTTCTTTTCCTGCCCAGACCCCCCCCCACACACACACACACTCCATCCACCACCTGTAATCCAGGACCTAGAGGCGAAATGGGTTGGTGGGCAGGTGTGAACTGCTGGCTGGCAGTTAGACTCAAAGTAGTGTTCAGTTTGTGGCACCCAAAGTCTGAGTTACTGAGAGGAGGGGAAGAGCATTCCCAGGTGTGTAGCTTTGCTGTTTGTCCCACCTGGGAAAGCTCTGTAAACTCAGAGAAGATGGTAAGGGAAGACGGGCTAGACACTAGGAAACAAGCTGTGAGAGACACAGAAGGAGAAGAATGAAAGGATGGGCAGGCCATTTTAGCAGAAGTTCTATGCACTTTTCCAGAGCCTAGACCAGCGGTTCTCAACCTGTGGGTAGAGGCCCCTCTGGAGGTTGAGACACCCTCTCACAAGGAACATCTAAAACCATTGGAAAACAGATATTTACATTAAAATCCATAACAGTAGCAAAATTGCAGTTATGAATTAGCAACGAAAATAATTTTATGGTTGTAGTGATCTACAACATGTCGAACTGTATTAAAGGGTCACAGCATTAGGAAGGGTGAGAAACACTGTCTAGACCATCAACATGAGGAACTCTCTTAAAGGGTCCCAGCATTAGGAAGGGTGAGAACCACTGTCTAGACCATCAACATGAGGAACTGTATTAAAGGTCACAGCATTAGGAAGGATGAGAACCACTGTCTAGACCATCAACATGAGGAACTGCATTAAAGGTCACAGCATTAGGAAGGGTGAGAACCACTGTCTAGACCATCAACATGAGGAACTGCATTAAAGGTCACAGCATTAGCAAGGATGAGAACCACTGTCTAGACCATCAACATGAGGAACTGTATTACAGGGTCACAGCATTAGGAAGGATGAGAACCACTGTTTAGACTTTCAGTATCATGCAGCATACAGGTGTGCTTATTCATCCCACATTTGAGGGAAGAGGCCTACAATCTATCCCTTATTTTGCCTCAGTTTTCAAGAGCTGCAATCTGTGAAAGATAAACACTACCACCGAAGGCTGCACCCTGCCTCCCATCCCCCATCACATTGCTACACTTCTTCCTGCTGGCTGCTTAATTCTGCCCAGCCTGGGGTACTAAGAACTTAGTGGGGAGCCTTCAGATGCCAGTATCCTCTGCATGGGCCATTTTCAAGCTTGGGGAATAATTCAGAAACCATTTTTGTTTCTCCAAGTGTTTGGTGAATTAATAGCCCTGACCCTACCCCAGTCTCTTCTTGCAGAAATTGCCCATTCCTCATTTAGAGTTAGAGAAGAGGAAAATTTTTCTGGCAAGAAAACATCCAGAGGTTCCCTTGTGCTCTCTGGCTGTTTGTGCAGTGGGACTTGGGGAATTCCGAAATGCAGTCTTTGACAACATCCTTACTAAAAGATCCATAAGATCCCAGAGATGCCCATGCTTATGACCTTCTATTTTAGGCTACTGGTTTGACTCAGCCACTGGATACTTTTCAGAAGGAAGAAGTATATTTTTGCCTCTGTGCCTGGCTTCTCAGTTAGGAATCACATCAAAAATGTAAACTGTTTTATATTTCAAGGTACTGAGTTTTACAATCTTATTATCCAGTTTAACTAACTAAGATATATTTTGAATATTTTCACTAGCTTTGTCCAGATATTTTTTTCCAGAATAGAATCTTTTTGTATATTTGGGTTTTTTTTTTATTTATTTATGTTTTTAAGATAGGCTTTCTTTGTGTAGCCCTGGCTATCCTGGAACTTGATTTATAGTCCATTCTAGCCTCAGACTCACAGAGATACTCCTGCCATGATCCACCACCACCCTCAGAACAAAATCTTAAAACTACATATCAAATTCACTGATTTTTTTTTGTACTAAGGTTCATCTAGACAGATGAAAAATGTCTCTAGATGCACCATCTGTTAACTTATCATTCATGGCATATTAGTTATACTAGCAGGAAATGATACATATTTCCCTTTTTAAAATGTATTTGGTGCTGAGTGGTGGTGATACACACCTTTCATTCCAGCACTTGAGTTCGAGGCCAGCCTGATCTTCAGAGCAAGTTCCAAGACAGCCAGGACTGTTACACAAGAAAACCCTTTCTCAAAAAACAAAAGTAGCTGGGTGGTTGTGGCACACGCCTTTCATCCCAGCACTTGGGAAGCAGAGGCAGGAGGATCTCTGTGAGTTCAAGGCCAGCCTGGTCTACAGAGCGAGTGCCAGGACAGTAAGAGGAACACAGAGAAACCCTCTCTTGAAAAACAAAAAACAAACAAACAAAAACTAAAAAGAAGTTAATAAATAAACAAATGAAATAATTTTGTTATCACCTGGCTTGTTTAGGCTGTACTGATGCTATAGATCAGTGGTTCTTAACCTTCATAATGCTGTGACCTTTAAATACAGTTCCTCATGTGTTGTGATCCCTAACCATAAACTTATTTTTGTTACTACTTCTTAACTGTAATTTTGTATTTTCCAATGATCTTAGGTGACCTCCAAAGGGGTTGGGAACCCACAGGTTGAGAACCACTAGTGTGTACAGTGCCCCCCCATTCAGAATGCTCAGTGCAAACTCTTCCCAGACCAGACTTTCCCCCAAACTGACTTCCTCCCATCTCATGCAGAAGACTGGATAGGGACACAATTTTCCCCACTCTCTAGAAATATCTGGGGTTGGTGACAGTGCCCCTTTCCAGTTCTGAGATGGGTGTAAACCTTGTTGGAATATGGCACCTTACACTAGCAATCAGAGTCAGCACAATAGGCTGTCCACATCCACACTCTAATACATGTGAGTGACCCCCAGGTCTGGGCTCCTTATGCATCTCTGTAAGCAATTGGTTAATTTTTAGAAGATGTGTCACTAAACTCATGCTACTCTGCTCCCATGGTGCTTTTGCTGGTTATGGTTTGGGTGGAGGGTAGAAATGGTAATAGTAATGTTTTTTAGACAGATTGTGGTTGGATCTGATCAAGTTCCAGCTTCAGAATTTCCTCTGGGTGCCCCTAAAGAAACTAAGAAATAATACCCGTGTTTCAGGGGTGTCTACCAAGCCACCCTCACCTGTCCCCTCCCCATTTCTCCTAATCTCCTCTGACCTCTAACACTTCATGTTTGTGTCAATACATAGTATTGGATTTCTCCTCATGCTCACTCCATCTTCATCAGCTCTTACTGTTTTACAGTTAACTCTGCTGTTTGCTGCATGCTGCATGAGACCCAGGGTCCTGGTAAGCTTTATTAACTCTAAATAGAACTGGCAGTGGCTTCTAGAACATACCCCCCAACCCCCACACTTGTGACACATATAATTAACCATAAAAGAAATGGCTTCGTTGAACCTGCTAGTTTCCTCCCATGACTTACAGTATGAGGATATAATCTGTCATTGTTTTAAGTGGGCATGCTACATGTGGATTGCCTGCCTGCCTGATTGGAGCTATGTGTGTGATGGCATTTGCAGACCTTTGCTGCTGTAGCATAGGTAGATAGATCATCTGACCAACATGTAAAGTTTTAGTTCAGACTTTTTTTTCATACAGAGCCATAATCATGACTTTCAAAATGAATTGTGGTGATGTAGGAAACTGCTGGGTCCACAGTCAGTATTGACCCCCACACATACTCCAGATTTAGGAATGTGCCATGAGAAATTGCTTCTCTGTCTCCCACTAATAACTGCTTCTTATCTGAGGGGTTCAAGTTCTCCAGTTTGTTTTGATTACATGTTCCACCACCCAAAATATAACCAAAGTGGGAGACAATGAAGAGACTTCAGATGCTATATGAAAACTTTACATTCAGTTCTGTAAGGGCTGACAAGGTGGCTTGGCTGGTTTCAGTGGCAGTATTTCCCTTTCACAGAAAGCCATTTAAGACTAGCAGCCTCAGTTCAATACCTAGAACACAAATATAGTTATAAGAAGAAAACCAACTCCAAAAGTCCTCCTGTGATCACACTACACCATGGAATGTGTGCCCATAAGCAGTATTAATACATTAATTTTAAAAATTTAATTCTGGTTCTGGAGAAATGGCTCAAGAGGTTAAGAACACTCACTGCTCTTCCAAATGAGCTGAGTTTGGTTTTCAGCACCCACAGACGAGGCAGCCCACAATTGTCTATAACTCCAGAGGATCTGACAGCCTCTTCTGGCACATGCATACACATCACACATCACACACACACACACACACACACACACACACACACACACACTATAAATCTTTTAAAATTAATTCTTTGAGTATAAGCTTCATGAAAACCTCTGCTAAGGATTTAGCAGGTAACTCTTAGTAAGAATCCCTGAGTGCTAGTGGTTGTGTTACAGGAGTAAGCAGAACAGTTCTTGCTATCACATAACTTTTAAAGTGAGTGAAAGCAGTCAGTATAGGATGAATGAAAGCAGTGTTTGCTTTTGTATACTCTACCAATCAGGTAGTGGGGGGGGATTGAATAGAAATATTTTTTGAATAGAAATATTTTTAATACACACCTTTCTTTTTAAAACAAACATAGAAATTTTCAAATGTAGAGAAGAGGTAATAGTATAATTCAGCCCCATATTTCTGGAAGCTGGCCATCAAAGAGTCATTGACATACAGCTAATCCTGTTTCCTCAATTATCCAGACATGCAGGATTATTGTAAGGCAAAAGCTATATCATTTTATTTGTAAAATACATAGTATATATTTCTAGGAGATAATGATCTTTAAAACAAACACAGACATCATTATCACACCTACAAAATTAATAATAATTGGCTAACATAAAATGCTAGTTGGTTTTTAAAGTACGCCCTTGGTCTCATAAATTGCGTTTCTTACTTTTGGTTTGTTTGGGTTGGAGACTGAAATATTGGGAAGATGTCCCCTGGCTCAGCCATGCAGTGGTTTATATGGAGAGCCTGCTGTTAGTCATCAAACCAATGGTTGCAGCCATTGCACTAGAGGCTTCAGGCAGCTGGCTAAGGCATCATCCTTTCAAGCAAATCCCAGCAAGGAAGTCCATCCAGGCTTCTGAAGCAGAAACAACCAAACAAATGTGTCCTCAAAGAACAAAGTGATGATTTACCGCCTGATTTAAAAACAAGCCCTGGAGCCCCTGCTAGGGCACTGGCATCAAATGGCAGCTTTCTATTTAGGCAGACTAAATTCTTAGAATATCTGCTCACTGCTAGGTGCCTCGCCAAGTGTCTGAAACATAGTAGGAGCTCGGTTCATATGGCGTTTCTTTGTTCCACCATTTTCAGTGAGCGCAGGAACGATGTATACTGGTGAATTCTATTTGGGCTAGTTCAGATTTCATTGCATACTGATCTGTTTTCATTCAGAGTTCCCTGAGTGTATCCTTGTTAATGGCCATCCTTAAAATGAGCCCTGGAAAATGATCATTAGAGCCATGGCTTATAAACAGCTGGAATAGCCAATTTCAACCCCACCTTGGTTGTCTCCTCTTGGCAAGCTTCTCTGTAGTAGACCGAGAAAACAGTTCTAGATCAGTTGGTCTGGGAGGGCCTTAGTTGCCTAGGATCTGAAAGGAGCCAAGGTTATGTGCTTCCTTCCCAAAACTTTCACTTGGAGGGTTAATCAGAAAAGCCACCTGGAATGCAGGCTAAGGGAGAATTATGTATACGTGAGAGCAGGTGTATTCATTGTGGAAAATGGATTGCATATCCCCATATAGTCATGATCCTCTAACTCCACTCCCCACAAATAGCCCTCATTTAATGGGATGACTTTTGTGTCTGTTTTTCCAAAAGTCCCTAAGAAAATCAACTTAAGAAAAAAAAGTTCAATTCTATTCGTGGTCACTTGGCCTCACTGGTGTGGTGTCGATCTCAGCAGAGCATCATGGTAGCGGGGTGAACTGGAGCAGAGCTTCTCACTCCATGTCGGCTGGGAAGCAGAGAAAAGAGGCAGGGACAAGATGCAGCATCACAGGCCTTGTTCCAGTGGCCTACTTCTTCCAACAGGCCCACCTTCCAGTAATGCCCTCATAGTAGGAATTCTTCAAGGGATTACTCTGTAAAATCAGAGCCCTCAGATTCTAGTTACTTCCTCAAAACTCCTTAGCTGGCAAGGAAGCCTTCAATATGTGAGTCTTTGAAGCACACACCATATCCAAACCATAAAAACATCTTGCTCTTCAGATCATAAACAAGGATTTCCATACATAGCAAAGAAATTCTCAGACACCATTGATACTCTCCGAGTGATAAGAGAGTCTTGATTAGATAGATATCTCTCATCCTGGATATAATAATACTTTATGGCCAAAGGCATGTCAGTCTCTTCATATGTGACACAGGGACCCATAGGACTTACTCATATCTTAGGAATGAAATCCCAGCAGGAGACAGGTCACCATGTGTAGGGATGGCATCTCCCATCAACCATATTACATTAACACAAACCAGTGATGGGCTTCTGTTGTTCAGGTGTAAAGATCACTGGTTGGAACCCCACCCCATCACATACTCAACAAACAGGTATTGGCTTAGGGTTGCAGTTAGCCAGCTAAGCTTGCTACATAGGACACCAAAGTTGCAAATTCAGCCTCTTGTCGTGTGGGGCAAGGGGGCTGTGAGAGGGTTGCTGTCCCTGGTGGCCTAAGGTCACCAGAGACAAAGTTATCCGGATGTGTGTATGTGGGATTGTATGTCAAGAACAGATTTTTAAGAATTATTTGTGTGGGTTTTGATCTTTATTTTGCTTTTTAATGCCTCTGCTGCTGCCATTCATATGAGAAAGCATGTTCCCAGGAGCCAGTGCATAAAACTTTTAAGACCACTCTAGCATGTCTATTGTACTTTATCTATTAGTTATAAATTAACTTCCTTCTGGCTTTTTTAGGGGTACATTCATCCATCCATTCATTAACCCACCCCCTTCTCTTTTCATTTTCAGTTTGGGCTTCCTGTAGACGCACCCTTTCCTGTGCAACACAACTGGGCCTCCCTCTCCTTATTCCCCCCTTACCATGTTTAGGGGGGCATACAACCCATGCCCCCCTTGCTTCCTGCGAATGTTTATAGAAGCCTGAGAGTCAAATGATGATGTCTGGCCTCAGACCAAGAAGCCAACAATGACCTGGCTTGGAGACACATTCCATACTTCAGGCCCTCTCCTAGTACCCCCAGTCATCTGTGCCCCCCTCATCCCCATCTTTGCCAGACGGTCACATGTTCAGGGGTTGCTATTTGCTACTTTTCATGTACCAGCTTCCCCATTGGAATTTGACTGGTACTTGTTTCCTTGGGGTATTTCCATCTACCCTGGCTGAATAAAAGTCAGGAATCAAAGCTGTCCCCTTATGCTCCTGCATCCTAGTTAATGGTATTGTTCTCTAATCTCAGGAGTCATAGCCCCTTCTCATAGACTTCAAAGGAATTGTCAGTGATGCCTATTTCTTCTACCATCTTAGCCCAGCCCTTTTCTGATTCCATTCACTCAAAGTCACCTTACACAAGCTGTGTTAAAAGTCAGCCACACATTTATTTGCCCCATGCCCTTCCTATAAAACACAGTTTTCTGGGGAAGACAGTGTACATTTCCCCTCTCTCTAATTCTGGGTAGCCCACAGATACAGAAGGGGAAATAAACCAGAATGTTACATCAGCCTAGAGTCTTGAATGATAGATTTATAGAATTTTTCCGTGGGGGTTTTAGCATGTCATTGATCATTTCTCGCCATCCCAATGAGGTGTAATAGCAAGAATAATCCAGTCTGTACACTGGTGAGCTGGTCAAAGAAGCTAGGCTTGGAGCTTGCCTGGATGAGTATTCTAGTCTCCCTGATGATTGTAATGATGGCTTGAATCTGCATTTGCAAACATGCCACTTAAAAGAGGAGAGACCATTAGCTGGAGGGATGAAACGAGGAACTGGCGGTTGACATTTACTTTGGTCTAAGGATTTGATATTTTAAAAATACCCTAGTCTTAAGTTTTATAATGGGTCCCATCTGATTATGGCTTTTGGAAACCCTTTGAAGTACAGAGCCTTCCACTGTCAGGGCCATGATGCACAGTATGGCTTTTGGTGTTTGACTAGTAACAGAGCAACAACAGCTAGAGGCGACCTGGCAATGATCTGTGGCTAATATGGCGTCTCTCTGCCCTTCCTTTGCAGTAATCCATGGCTGTGTACTGAATAGTATGCCCTGCTACAGCTGGACTGGACTCCACTTAGCCTTTTAAGCGAAGGTTCTTATTTTAACTGACAACTTTTTTTAATGGTGCCAGACAGCTGGGCTCTCCACTCCCACTCTGGTACTTTAAGCCCCATCTCTCTCTCTCTCTCTCTCTCTCTCTCTCTCTCTCTCTCTCTCTCGTTCTGCTTCTGTGTCTCAGTCTGACTGGCATGGACCATGGCTTTCTTCTTTTTTCATATTTTAAAGGTGGTTGTATGGTCACTACCTCTAAAACACACAAGGTGATAATCAATTTACAGGCTGTCTGAACTGTTGCAAAAGGGAGGTTTCCTTTCTCTACAATCATAATTAATACCTGGAAGGCAAGACTAAGCCCAAAGCAGAATTAGTTAAAAGCAAGCAAGTCAGTGTGCATTCTCTCTCTCGCTCTCTCTGTCTGTCTGTCTCTCTCTCCCTTCCTCCTTCCTTCTCCTTTCCCTCTCTCTCTCCCTCCCTCTCCTTTCCCCCCTCCCTCTCCGTTCCCCCCTCTCTCTCTCCCTCCTTCTCCTTTCTCTCCCTCTCCTTTCCCTCTCTCTCTCTCCCCCTCCCTCCCTCCCTCTCCTTTCCCTCTCTCTTCCTCTCTCTCTTTCCCCTCCCTCCCTCTCCTCCCCCCCTCTCTCTGTGGGCAAAGAGAGAAGGCAATTTTGATATGTACTGGCCAATGACCAGAGACAAGTACAGGGTGACAATGGGAAAGCATAAGCTAGTTTCTCGGAAAAACCAACTGGAAGTAGAGAATTTCAGGAAACCCTATGCCTGGAGGTAAAACAGAACAATAGAAAGCTCCAACGCAAAATCCCCAGATACCCTCAGATACACACTCAGTAGTTGGTGGAGTCAGGCTACTGAGTTAAGGCTGTCTGGATCTCCTTAAGAAAGACCCCTTAATTGTAACCATGGGGTTCTGTGGGTTTTCTGTTGTTTTTAAGACAGGCTCTTACTATATAGCCCTGGCTAGCCTTGAAATCACAATGGAGACTAGGCTGGCCCTCACAGAGATCTGCCTGCCTGAATTACCTGAGTGCTGGGGTTAAAGGCAAACACCCCTACATCCAGCTGCCCTAGGGGGTTTAATCCACCTTCCCAGAAATGAGGCTTCTCATGTGAATTGGTATATAAATTTATTACTTGAGGTTTGAGGATTTCAAAATGCTTCACAAGTATTTGAGCTACACAACCTTCCAAAAACAAGCAGGAATTGTATATAAAGTGGGTGCGTTTGGGTCAGCATGGCTATTGTAACCCCCTATGGAGGATTTTGGCACATAGAGAAATAAAGGGACTCATTCAAGGCCCCACTACTATTTCTTGGCATAGCCCAAGCAAAATTTCATGTTTCAGGGTTCCCAATCCGTTTCACCAAGGAACCCAAACATTTGTGTATGTTCCTGGAGACAAGATTTTTTTTTTTTTTATATTCAGAGAAACTAGCCAATGTTAGAGGCATTCTGACGGTTTTCACATAGAAAAATAGGATGGATTGAGTAGGGGCAGATGAAGAGAAGGTCCCAGGCCAGGTGCCATGCCTGATGCTCAGTTAGCTTTCCTATGAGTCTGGAGCAGGACCAGGCCAGTGTCTATTTCAGTGCTGCACTGTGTGGCATCTTGGAATCAGGGAACTTGGATGGCTATAAAAAGCAAGCGGACCTATTAAAGGGATTAAGATGATGCTAACTAAATTTCATTGAATAGCCGTTCTTACTGTAAATTGCATGTTGTTTTTTTTTTTTTTTTTTTTTTTGGTGGTGGTATTTGTTTTTCTTCACTTAAAAGTCTTTTTAGTTAGTACAGTTGTTACTATTAAAAAAAAAATACCCTAAACTCTGTTTACTTCTAGTGAAACAAAAACCAGTAATTAGATATGATCTGTGCTTTTATTTTTCTAGACTAGAATGGCTTTCCTGAAATACACACACACACACACACACACACACACACACACCCTTCATTTCTCTGAAGCCAAGAAGTCTGCTTTCCTCACTTGGTTTGGATTTTTTAAAGTCATTTGGCATTCACATGTGGCTGTTAATATGTGCTTATTTTTTAATTAAAGCAAGACTCATTAAACTGGTGTGTGGTGTTCTTCAAACCTTCTCAACAGATTTCCCCATGGTGATAGCCCCTCCGCGACCTGTTCCTGTCTTCTTGGCATTTAATCTATGCTACCTCCCACTGCCCACTCCCCTTGCATGCCACTTTGAATGTCCTTTCTCTTCGCTAATTTCGTGTTTTCTCTCTCTTTCTCTCTCCCTTTCCAGCTTTTTTTAACCTTGTCTGCAGCAGCTGTACTAAGTCTAAGGGAGAAGACTGCCATTATAGAAGAGTTAGTTAGGGCTCCATATTGTCTCAAGCAAGAAACCAACCAACCAGTTCCCTTCCCCTGCAACTGTGCACACATACACCACACTCAAGTGTACATGTGTCCCTGTGTCCAGGCAAGAAGCTCTCTTCTGACTTACATGGTGTTTTACATGGAAGTGTCTTGTCCTAAACTCACAAGGCAGGAAAAGAATCATCAGAGCTGGAAATGGACCAAATGCAACCTCAGAGAGACGACGACAGGACCACTCACCCAGGTGTTCAGTGACTGGGGCAGGAGACCTCAGCTGTGGGTGTGGAAGTGCTGTTCACAAGGTTTTGAGTTTTATGGGTTTTTTTTTTTTTAAAAAACAATTTTCTGTTTCATTGGGTTGAACGTCTTCAGCCTCTATTAAGCTGATTGTGAACATGGAAGAGAAAGTTGAGTGGCATTTGCATCTTCAGCATTCACAGACCTTCTGCAGACCACAGCAAGGGGAGAAATGGAGCATTAACTTTCAGCTGGAGAAAGAGACTGCAGGGGTTTCAATTTAGTGAGAGCAAAGTTCTCCATGAAACCTTCCAAGGAGATTTGGGGGCTTTGCAAGAGGTTTCTACTCAACTTGGTATCTATAAGCAGAGCTTTGATGTTGGTAAATCTGCCTTCGATTTACTGGCTTTACCTAACATCCGAATACCATGTGAGTGTGCTCATTCCCATATAGCCATGCCACAAACATCGCCATTCTGCTGTCCAGTCTCTTGAGAGAGCCTCTTTGCATGTTTTCCGGAATCTGTGTTTGTTTTTTCCTTTCTTTTCTGGGGTTCTTTTTGCTCAAAGTTGTGCCCAGTTACTGCCCCTCTGGGGCTTTCATTTTCCACAAGATCCATCCCAAACCAGCACTGTTTAGCTCATTATCTTTCTAATGTCCATGTCAATTTTCAATAAAATTCAAAGAAATGCTCACTGGTTCTATGATGTGACCCCACCAGTTGGTGGCATGGCTCTCCACAGTTTGCTTTAGGAAATGGGTGCCCTCCGCCCAAGTGGATAATTTGGGAGACTCAGGGAGATGCCATGAGCCTACTAAGTCTTCCTCAGTGGACTGCCTCATCCCTTCTTTCTTCTTCCTGGCCCTGAAATTCCAGGGGCAGGGTGGGTATTAGCAAGCAGTCTCCTGCTTTCCCTTTAATTAGCACTGGGTCGACTAATCAAATGAACTAAGTATCAGACAGAAGAGGAGAACAGAAAATGACATCCACAGAGCAGCGCCCAGGTAAGTTTTAATTATGGAACAAAAGCAGTTCTGTGTTACTTCTCATTTATTCCTGTGATGTAAACATTTTCACAGTTTCATGCGTTGAAAGGCCTTCTGGAGTTACTAAGCCTGTGCTCCAGTACAGGAGCAAACAGCGCTGACCTGCCTCTATGCAGTTCGCACACTAGGGGGCAGCAGAGTAAGCTATACTCCCTTATGACATAGTTGAACACCGATGATCCTGTGGTGTGGAAAAATACAGACTCCTTACTTAGCCTGTTGGAACAGCTGGAAAGTTGTGATAAGAAAGCCAAACGCGTCCTGGTAATAGGGCAAGGCGCCTGCTGCCAGGACCAACTGTCTGAGTTCAATCCCTGGGACCCATATAATGGAAGGAGAGGCCTGATTCCTTACAAGTTATCTCATGGTCGCGACCCCCAAGCCACTGAAAATGAAACACACAAAAAATGCCAAAGATATCTCTTAAAAAGAAAAACAGGGCATTTAGTAAATGGGGTTTCTTGGTTGGACACTTCCCACTGAGAACCATCACAATTTTGTACTACTGCTTGCCATGTTTGGCATGGCTTTATTTTAAAATGTCCTTACCTTGGGGGTGTAGTTCAGTTGGTAGAATTCTTGCATGGTACTCAGAGCCCTGGGTTTGACCCTCAGCACCAAATAGAATCAGAAATGGTGGCATGTGCCTGTAATACAGCACTGAGAAGATGAGACAGGAGATCAGGAGTTCAAGGCCAGCCTTGGCTATTGTATCATATGCAATAGCAACTTGAGTTATGAGTAATAAGGGCAGTCTCCTCCTCTTCTGGACATTCTCTTCTATAACCACAATTGTCAACTTTGGTAAATGACTCATTATTACACCATTTTAATCTACCAAATTATTTTCTTTGCATCATTTTCCCTTGAAAATGCAGGATCTAGTCTAGAATCATACATTTTGTCTTGTATGATTTTGTCTTGTATGTCTTGTCTCCTTAATTTGGAAAAGAATTCCTTTGCCTTTTATAACACTGATCTTTTTTTCTGATAGTTTAGTTTCAAATTATGAATGTGTGTGCACACGAATGTACATATAGGCAATGCCTCTGAAGGACAAAAGAGGGTGTCTGAGCCCTGTGAACTAGAGTTAGAGTAGATGTGAGGGTGCTGTGAGTTGAACTCTGGTCCTTGAATAGTATTTGACACTTGAGACAGTGTTTCTGGTGTAATAGCCTTTGCTATCCTGGAACCAGATCTATAGACCAGGCTGGCCTCAAAGTCTCAGGGATCCGACTGCCTCTGCCTCTAGAATACTGGGAGTAAAGGTGTGCGTCACCACCCGGCTCAGTAGTATGCATTCTTAACCTGCAAAATTGATCTTTTTGAAGTCCTGTTTGTTGGTTTGTTGGTAAAAGTGCTTGCACATAGGCCTGACAGCCTGAGTTTGAGTCTAAGGAGAGAACCAATTCCTCAGAGTTGTTTTCTGACTTTCCCAAATGCACCATGGCATCCATGCACCCACACATACAGTAAATTAACACATAAGTAATAAAATATTTTCAATTTGGGTCAAGATGTTGCCTCATCCCTCCACTATATGATTACTAGTCTTATTCATCCCTCTTCCATTAACAACCTTGCTACTAAAAACCTATGTGCAGGAACTAAGTCCCTACATACACCTTGCTCCTCATCAAAAACTTCCTCCTAGTTTAGCATCGGCTGGTAGCTCTTGCCTGCGTGACTCTTCAAAATGATTTTTCACTTTCAGCTCTCCTTCCACAGCTGCCAGTTAGTGCATGGCTGCTCCACGGTAAGCACAGGCCTCTTCTTCCCTCTCATTGTCTACTTAGCATCACTGCGGACTAATGGTCTTATAAGATACATGTTTTATATGATTGTCTGCGTTAATTATTAACTTTTAAACTTAGCATACACAGAGGTGGGCTTCATTGTGACATTTTCACAGATCCAGGTCATTACACTTTGTTCTTATTTGTCCCTGTCCTTCACTGTCCATCACATTCCCCCTGCTCCTATCTTGTTGGTCCCCCTCCTTCCCAAGGCCTCTTCCTTCTGTGTTCAAGTCATACTTATTCCATTTTCTTTTCTTCCTTTGCCCCCCCCTTGAGATTTTTCCTCCCTCCTCATATTCCTTTTTGGATTTTCATCACACACACACACACACACACACACACACACACGCACACACTTCAATGGTTATTTTGGAGCGCAGGTTACCCAAATTTTGCCTAATTGGAGGTTCCCAATTATTGCTTTGACTCCATTCGTAAACATTCCTCAAGTGCATTTCTGTTCTGGAGCATTCAGGTCAAGTACTCTGTGGGATGAAAGTCAAGGTGTGATCCTCTAGAACATAGAGGACTAATGGGAAGGGAGGGAGAGCATGCTCAATGTACAATATATATTCATTGGAAAATTTTAACAATAATAAATGTTTTTAAAGGATTTTTGAGTGAGATTGAGACAGCAAGATGGCTGTAGGTTTGAAGCTAGACTGGGCTATAGAGCAAGACTCCCTCAAGAAAACAAACCAAGGGGCTGGAGAGATGGCTCAGTGGTTAAGAGCACTGGCTACTCTTCCAAAGGACTTGGGCTGAATTTCCAGCACCTATACGGCAGCTCACAACTGTCTAACTCCAAGATCTGACACCTTCATACAGACATGCAGGCAAAACACCAATGCACATAAAATAAAAATAAATACATAAGAAAACAAAACAAACCAAAAAGCCCCCCTAAGGGTTTATGTGCAGATAATGGCTGATGAGGGAGAGAGGCTTTCTTCAGTGGTGTAGCTGATGGTAAAATGCCCATGCTCCTGTAAACAAACTCTGATCCATGCTACTGTAAATTACCCTAATGAAACTCATTGTGTCACCAAAATCAAATCCATGAAAGTTGAAAGGCTAGTTAGGAAGAGGGTTGGTGGTAGTGGGAGGGAAACTAGAGAATTACAGTAATAGGGAGTGATGGGTGGGTGTATTCAAAATAAGCATGTAACTTATTCTAACACACACACACACAGAGGAATTTTGGATCATCTAATTTTGATATGCTAATAGGAATAGAATTTAATCCGGTTCTGAGGTTCCCTCCTGTTATTACTGACTCCTTTACAAGAAAGGTCAGTCAAACAGATTGTGCGTGTGCATATAGTCTAAAGAGAGTGGCTCAAGGCTGTGTTGGAGAATAATGGAGAATAGGAAGATAGATGGTAACAGTTTTGTGGTATGGTTCAGGATTTCATTGGGCTGCCTTTAGAGTCTCCTTCTGCCATGTTCTCACTCTTTATTCAGACAATCTCTTTCTGTTTAGGTATCCTAGATGCTCCCTGAGAGATTCTGTGCCTTGTGAGAGAGAATGGGTTAAAGCAGATTGGCTGTAGAATATTATTATTGTTTAAAAAAAAAGAAAAGAAAAGAAAGAAATACCAGGGAGAGGAGGTCACAGAAGATCATGCAGGTTTTTCTTCTTTATTTTCTAGAGACAAAATGGTTTATATTCTATAGTGGGAATCATAAACAGAACACCATCATGATTGTTCCAGGACAAATGGTCTCTAGCCTCTTTTTCTTGGATATCTGGGAATATGGAGAATTGGATCCAGGACATCATGATACATGCTAGTCAAGTACTGTACCACCCAGCAACATCTACAGCCCACTAGATGACCTCTTAGATCTGTTTCACTGCTTTTAATTTTATAATTCAGATTATATTTGTTTTCTTGCTTGCTTGTTTCCCTACCTCACCCCCAACTAATACTCTCTGGAAACATCCCCATAGATATACTCAAAGAAGTGTTGCTTTAATGCCTTGGGTGATTCTTCTTCTCTTTTTTAAAAGTTTTATTTATTCTTATATATCTACATTGGTGTTTTGTATGTCTGTGTGATGGTGTCAGATCCAGACAGGTGTGAGCTGCCATGTGGGTGCTGGGAATTCAAACCAGGTCCTCTGGAAGTCCAGCCAGGGGCTCTCAAGCCTCTCTTATTATCTTTTGAAATTAAAATAAAATCACATTTTCCTATTCCCTTTCCTCCCTTCATGTCTCCCTATGTACTCCCTTGATCTCTCAAATTCATGACCTCTGGCCTCTTTCTTTAAATGTTGTCACACACACACACACCTAAATAAACACAATCTGCTCAGTCAGTATGGACATAGCTTGACAAGCAAAATTAATCATCACAGGAGCTGTGATTCTACCCGCAATTTTGTAGTTTGAAAATAAGATAGATATTTACTTAATCTTCTATACCCGAGGCTACATAACTGCTAAAGAACGTATTGATTTCTTAGAGTGCTGGAGGCTGGAAGCCCAAGATCAAGACTGTAATAGATGTGGTTGTCTCGTGAGGAATGTTCTCTGCTCCAAGACAGTTTCTCGTTGCTGTATCTATCAGAAGGGAGAAATACTGTGTGCTCATATGGGGGGAAGATACAAGTTCAAATGCTATATGAAAATGTTTTATAACGATCTTAATTTCTTTCAGGAGGAAGTCGCCCACAAGGCCTAATTAACTCTTAAAGATCCTGTCTCTTTTTCTGTTCTTGTTTTTCCTCTCCCTTTTTTGTTTTTCAAGACAGAGTGCTCTGGCTGTCCCGGAACTTGATTTGTAGACCAGAATGACTTTGAACTCACAGAGATTAGCCTGCTTCTGACTTCTGAGTACTGGGATTAAAGGTGTGTGTGCCACCACCACCTGTGGTTTTGTTTTTTTAAGATGAGGTGTCACTCAGCCCAGGCTGGATTTACACTTACTTTGTAGCAGCAGCTAGCTCCCAAATGCTAAGATTACACTTGTGCACTATCACACCTAGCTTAAGTCCCTATGTCTCTCTTCTTTTTAAAAGATGTATTTTATTGCATTAGTGTTTTGCCTCTGTGTGTGCAGCCCACATTTCATGCCTGGCACTCAAAGAGGCTAGAAAAGGGCATCTGATTCCTCTAGAACTAGAGTTACAGATGGATGTGAGCCATCATGTGGTTGCTGGGAATACTACTTATGTCCACTGCAAGTGTGACCCATGTTCTTAACCACTGAGACATCTCTTCAGCACTAAGACCCTAATTTTTTTGGGGGGGGGGCATGGTTTCTCTATGTAGCCTTGGCTGTCCTGGAACTAGTTCTGTAGATAAGGCTTGCCTAGAACTCACAGAGATCCACCTTCTTCTGCCTCCGGAGTGTTGGGACTAAAGGCATGTGACACCACCGCCTGGCCCAAGACTTAATACCATCACACTGGCTACTCAATTTCAGCAACAGAATTTTGAAGGGAACATAACTATAGAAGTCTTAAATTCATCCAATTATTAAACATCAGCTTAAGATGTACACTCTAAGAAACTAGGATGGTGCAAAGAGAAAAACATATAAGTAACCTATGATATGCCCACGGAAGCCAGTGCAGGCATTGACAGTAAAAGAGGAACTCTCTGTTTTCATAGATGGGGCATTTTATCAAGGGAAAGGGAGTCAGATATTTTATCAAGGGAAAGGGAGTCAGATGTTTTAACATTTTTCTTTCTCGATTTTTTATTAGATTTAAAAGACACAATACTAACTTATGAGAGATACCAAGGCCAAAATAAAAATTACCCCATTGAGAATGGACAGAAATGTGCAGAAATGTGCAAAAAGAGAATACAACAAAATACTCAGTGATATTACTAATCAGAAGAGATACACCTAGAAGGAAATTTGAATAGCAATTCTTAACAGAACATAATCAGGAATTTAAGACTTCTCATAAATGATTAGGTGTGGACCCCTCCAATCGTGAGTTCTTGGTATTTTAAATAAAGCATAGGTAGGTAACAGTTATTGAGATTTTATTATAGCGCAATTTTCTGTTGGAAGTAATTCTCTCCCTCTCATGGGCCCCTTTCTAGTTTCCTGGCATCTGCCCTCCCTCACCTCCACAGAAACATATGTATATAAATATTAGAAGTTAAATTTGTCATTCTTGTCCATCTAAGTTGAGGACAGTGATTAGTATCTATAATCCCCGCACCCAAAAGGCCTGGGAAGGAGTGTTAATTCTCTGCTAGCCTTGGTTATATAGAAAGACACCACCATCACCCTTTTAAATTAAGGATAATGGATCAAAAGACACCTTATCCAGTAGTCCCGATGCTAGTGCAAGAGTTAAATCTATGCAGGGTTAGTTTTCATCACCGAGATTATAAAGTATATGATGTTTTGGCCATCATGCTGCCCAGCAGCTTTTAACCAGTCTTTTGGCTTCTAAGTACCCTGAAATATAAGAGCATGATGATACACCTGGTAATCCTGGAACTTGGAAGCTGCAGGCAGGAAGACAGAAGTTCAAGGTCACCCTGGTTACATAGTGAGATGGAAGGTAGCCTGGGTTACTACATTAAGACCCAGTTGACACGACATTTGTTGTCTGCAGCCGCGATCGATCAAAAAAAAAAAAAAAAAAAAAAAAAAAAAAAGAAAGAAAAAAAGAAAAAAAAGGTAAAAGGATCAGCTTGAGAAGTGACACTGTTGTTTTCTTCGCGACCTTTCCAAAGCTGACGATGAACGGCGCGCTTGTTTTTCAAGCTATTCTCTGAAGAGACAGCTCGGAGAGCTAAGAGGAAAAACATGCCCGATCCCCCCCGAAACCTAAATCCCTTCCAAAGGACCGCTTAGAATCCCAGGCAGTGGCCAAGCCAAGCACTGCCGCCCACTAATCACCTAAGGGCACCTTGCAGGGGCTTAGTGGAATCACGGTGTTCAGGCACCTCAGGGAGCCGGCTGCAATTCTGGACCCGGAGTCCCCGCCCTCTGCCTGTCACTAGGCTGCGTCAACGGAGAGCCATCGTCATAGGAAGGGAAACATGCCCGTCACGCGAGATTTCGCGGCGGGATTTCGAAGTTGGAGACCGGCTGCGGCGCGTGCGTGGTAGCCTCACAACCTCGGGGTGGCACGCGGGGAGGTAGGCAGAGGTACCTGAGCCGGGGAAGCCTGCGTGCCGGTGCTGCTGCTTCTTGTTGTTGTTTTTCTTCTTCTTCTTCTTCCTTGCCGCTCTCCCGTCTCAGCGTGCGGGTCTGAGGCACCGAGGAGGCGCGGAGTAGCGCGACTCAACTCCGCTGTCGCGGGCGCCCGGTATATATAAGAAAAGCCTGCCCGTCCCCACACTCGTTGGAGCGGTGCGGCGCCGGGGACCGTTGTTTCCCGTTCCCCTGTGAGCGTAGCCCCCAGGCACACACTCCCGTCCCCTGAGACTCAGCCTCCAGCGTCCCTCACACAGGTCCGCCCCTCCCCGCGGCCGTCTCCATTGCTCGCGGCCACTTTGTCGGCTTCGTCCCCCGGGGGAGGGGGGGGAGAGAGAGAGAGGGAGAGAGAGGTGGGAGTCCCCACTCTGAAGCAGAGAAGATGGCTGGAGGACGTCTGCTGCTGGGGGGCGACTTCCTGTCGCCGCCGCCGCCGCCCCCCCTCCCGCCGCCGCCGCCGCTGCCCCCCCTCCCGCCGCCCCCGCCTGAGCCAGTGCTGGAGCAGTGGCGCTACAGCCACGAAAGTGACTGGCAGTGGGCTCTGCGGCGGAGCTTCATCTGTCGGCACCTGCACAGCTATCCCGGGGCTGCCCTGGACCAGCTCCTGGCGCTCTCCGCCGCCTGGACCAACCACATTTTCCTGGGCTGCAGGTGAGAGGATGGCGTTGGGAGAGGGGTCTAAGGGTCGGCTTCGGGATGAGGGTGAGGGACAGCCTAAGGGAAGGAGAAGGTCACCAGAGGCCATCCAGATAGGAGGCGGATGATAGCTTGGAGGCTTAAGGTGTGAAGATTTGCTAGGGGACACGGAGAAGCTTCACTGATGGTGGGGGGGGGGTGGGCGACCGTGTTGGCAGTCAATGACATGATAGCGCATGAGGGCTCAGAGATGCCCCTCCGGGACCAGAGATGGAGATAAAGTAGCTCCTGGAAGAGGATTATTGAGTTAGTCGTGGTGATTGGTGATAAATAGCAGAAACAAGGACCTGCATAGGGTCTTCCAAGGATGCGGCATCCGCAGAGGATATTCGATGGGGCTTTAGGGGGAGGACAAGGAACTCCGAAGTTCTAATCCTAGTCTCTTGGCCACTCTCTTCTCCCATCACTCCTTATATTAAACACCCCCCCCTCTCCTTGCAGCCCCCTAGCCAGGTCTTACAGTCTTCTCCTGGGGAGGTGTTGTGTCAGATCTCTGAGCTGCAGTGTCAGGCTTGCTTGTGGATTTGCGCATAATGTACTCAAACAAAGAGATGGATCTATCCGCTGTAAAAATGGATTGCCCTCTTTTCACCTTAAATGGGATAGGAAGAATTAACATTTGGCCTCTGTGTGAGGTTTTAGGGGTGTATATGTGTCTTTCTCTGTATCCTCCCTTCCTAGAACCTGGTGGCTTGGAAAGCACTTTGCATTCTGTGGAGACTGCGGTATGATTCCAACGCAGTTTTTTTTTTTTTTTTTTTTGAACAGGATGCTTGGGTCCTCTGTCCTTCAGAACCTCGAAATTGGCCTTATCCTAGACTAATTGCTTCAGCAGACTGGGAAGCTCCTTTTTTTTTTTAATATTCCTGCCTAATAGTCAATTTGTTTTTATTAGGAAGATGAGAAATTCTGGAAAATGGTCGCATTCAATTCAGCCAGATCAGTTCTAGGAATGACTGTAAACAACGTAGAAGAAATTGTCTGTTTTTACCTTAACAGCCAGTGTGAAACTTTGCTTTGCCCTGTCACAGAATTTTATTTTTTTATCTTCTCTAAGTTAACATAATTTCTACCTCTAGAGATAATGATTATTTCACTGGAGGAGCTGGTTGCTACTGGGAAAGCCTCAACGATTAATCATCAGATCAGTCTAATTTGCCTAACAGTGTTATTCTTGCAATAAAAAGGTACCTTTATCATATAATCCTAAGTCCTAATATCACAAAAATCTACAGGGAATCAAAATCCTAAAACATCTTGAATAGGGAGGACAACCATCCTTTGTGTTCATAACTAAACTTGCCTTCCTGCAATAATGCAAGTTTGGGGGGTGGGTAGACTTCACTGTTTTTCATATTCACACTTTTGTCTAGAAGACATCTTGTACAATATTCTAGGATAATAGCTGCTCATTTAAAGGAGAGTGATAGATGTATACAGATTTGTATAGCACATTACCAGCACTTTCTTATATTAACCACCCTAGAGGTTAGGAGGTATCTCCATTTTACAGCAAAATCAACGAAGGTCAAGAAGTTAAGTTACTGTGCAAAGTCTCATAACTATTTCCAGTCTGTTGCTCTTTCTACTGAGACACAGCTGCCATGTTTGGGAAGGATGAACCATAAAAGCAAGTAACTGACATAAGTCCAATCTCTAAATCTCAGGTTTATATCCGGAGAATAGCAGCTTCATGCATAACCACGGTATTAACAGAAACCAAGCCAATAGTATTTGACCTTAAAAAGCTCAAGCACTCGGGATGTGTGGATGTGTAGCTGCAAATCCTTTGTTTAGAACTTGGTGTGTTGCGATATACCTATATCTTTACAACAGTTACTATAGAGTTCGAAATAGATGAGCTGAAAAGCATTGTTTGCATTATGTCTGATGATTAGAAATAGGAGAATGGAAAGAACCCAAGAGAACTTTGGAAATTAGCAATTCTGTGTGGTCTTCACTTTAAGTAGGCTTTGTTAGCTCTCTCCTTGGGTGAATAAAATCTATGTTCTCAAAGTTGGCAGGGTTCTTGTTTTGTGTGACAGAGTACTCTTTTCTCAAGTAAACTGCAGACACAGCCCTTTGTAAACTCAGATTGTTAATTAGTTGTTGAAGGAATTCCATTTGATTAGGAGCTGGGATGAAAAGAATTTCTGAAATTGTATCTTTTAGCACAGGATGTGCAGGGATTCGGAGCATGTATCATTCCTTTTGGTGATAGTGGCCATTTCCTTGGAACAGATTTGAGAGAGAGAGAAAGAGAGTGTGTGTGTGTGTGTGTGAGAGAGAGAGAGAGAGATGTTTATGTGGTGAGTATCCTTGACTGTGAGGCCAGAGACCCATGTTGAGGGTCACCTCTATCACTGTCTACCTATTTGTTTGATGCAAATTCATGGAATCTAAAGCTCACCAGTTAGCTTAGACTGACTGGATTCTGAGCCTCTTGGATCTGTCTGTCTTTTTTACAATGCAATTACAAACCATACAATGTGTCACCTTGCCCTGGTTTGACATGGTGCTGGTAATTAAAACTCAGGTCCTCTTCTGTAGCAAGTGTTGAACCATCTCCACAACCTTTGAATATCATCTTGATCCTATAATTGTGGTTCTTACACATAAGCATGCATCAAAGCACCTGTTTGGATACTGTATGTGGTAGCACAAGACTTTAATCCTAGTACTCAGGACCTAAGACTGAAGCAGAATGGTGAGTTTAGGGCTTACCTGCATTATATAAGCATACCCTGTCTAAAATAATAACAACAATAATAATCACCTGTTAGGTTTATTAAAAGACAGGTTCCTGGACCCCTACTCCAAGGCTTTGAAATCAGAAGATATGAGGAATGACCTCAATTTTTTTTTTGGTGAGGTTACCAAATGGTGCTGATATTTTTATTTGGAGACCAGAGTGTGAGAAATTCTACTTTATAGGATAAAGTGATGCTTTACAATCTACTTTTTTTTTTTGAGACAGGGTCTCATGCAGTCCAGACTGTCCTTGAACTTGCCATGTACCTGAGGATGATCTGAAAGTTCTGCTTTTCCTGCCTCTACCTCCTGAGTGCTGAGATCACAGGGTACACCACCATGGCCAGTTTTATCTGACGCTGAGGAAAAATGCTAGGCAAGCCCTCTGCCCTCTATCAGTTGAGCTATGTCTCCAGCCCTCCACTCTACCTTTTAATAATCTTTTCCTGTTGTTCAAACAACCAAAAAGCTCAAAGAACCTTGCCTTCACTTTCTCTGCTTTATAAAAGTAAGCAGCCTATCAAGAAATGTTGCTGGATGTGATGGCTCATGCCTATAATCCCAGCAATTAGGAGTCTGGGACAGGAAGAATTTTCCGAGAAATTTCTAAAACCATTTCAAAACATTGGTCTTGTGTCTAATGAAAACTTATTACAATCTTTTGATCAACTACATATATGACACATAAATAATTATGCATATGAAGGCCTAGAGTATCTGCAGTTTTAATTTACAGATTATAGCTAGTGTGTTTACTACTGTATTTGTTTTGTAGGACTGAGTGTAGAACCTATACTCTTCGTGCATGCTATAAAGTATACTACCATGTTCCACCCACAGCCGTTTAAGAAGGCACAATGTCTAGATTACCTGGAGTATACAGTTTTCCAGTTTTGATCCATAGGATTTAGAAGCAGAGTTCTGATGTACAAACCCTGGCTTGATTATCTTTGTTAACATATTAATACGTTAATAGAGAAATAACATGAAATCAATTTTGCTACCTTGACTTCTTTTCTGGAGAATTAGGAAGGTAGATTCCAGGTAGATATGTATTATGAAACTTAACTTTGCACATATATACACAAGTCACTAAAGATGTGGGAGACTTTTGAAAAATTCACCTCTAATCTATACATTTATTATTATTATTATGTTGGGCCATTAAGCATCTTGTAAGTAGTTTTGAATGTCACATTTTGTATTTTGAAGCCCTAAATTTTGTATGTTTCTTTTTGTCCTCCCTGACCCCCAGACAGGGTCTTAATGTGTAACCCTTGCTATTCTGGAATTCACTGTGTAGATCAGGATGACTTTGAGCTCACAGAGATCTACCTGCCTCAGCTGTTTGTTTGTTTGTTTGTTCCAGACAGGGTTTCCCTGTGTAGCCTTGGCTGTCCTGGAATTCGCTCTGTAGATCAAGCTGACCTGAAACTCATAGAGATCGACCTGCCTCTGCCTCCTGGGAGAGTTGACTCAGTGGTTAAGAGCACTTGTTGCAAAGGACCCGGGTTTGAATACCAGCACCCACATGGAGGTTTATCTCTTCTTCAGGCACAAGACATGCATATGGTACACAGACATGGCATACAGGCAAATATAATAATAATAATAATAATGATGATGATAACAAAAGCAGTGTGTGCTACTATATCTGACTTTTAAGTTTCTAATCTCAGCATTTTAAATTTAGATTTAGTAGAGCTATTTAATATACTTGCAAATAACATACAAGAAGCATCTGTTATTGAATATTTACTAAATTTCAGGTGCCATTGTGTATAATAACTTATGTTTCTCTTGTAGCTGTGCACATAGATACAACTTGTGACCATGACACTGATATCTATGAAGAAAAGTATGTTGCCCCTTATAAATAATATTTTAGTAATATGCTAGACATGGTAGTTGAAAAATAACCAAAAGCTTGGTACATTATAAGCTATGTAAAAAACTTTAAGACCTGTTGTAATTCCAGTTTTTCCTTAATGTTTACAACCAAACATAATATAATAGACATACAAATATGTAATATGCATGCATTTAAAAATTATACTTGACTTTCCTTATTAATATTTTACCTCATATTCTATAATACAGAACATTGTATAACCTTTAAAACCCATATGGTAGCAGGCTAGGGAATGTAACTCAGTGGTACAGTCTTTGCCTGGTAATGCTCAAGACTGTGAGTTCATTTTTCA